TGAGGCTTCAATGGGTAAGGTTTGTTCGGGCTTTTGGCTCAGTGAATTGAAGATGTTTATGTTTCAGGAGCCCGCGTTCATCAACATTTTTGCCTTCGTAAACCTACCCTTTCCCGTTTTGTGTGGTATTTGCATCACTTTTCCAGGGTGCCAAGGGGATCCCGGCAAGTTTTGACCGGCAAAGTTGCTCCTGCCCCAGGCCCTCCTGGGCCCCAAGAAGCAATGAAACATAAGAAACAGATGAAGGATGAAGCAGATGAAGCAGACCATGAAGATGATGAAGATGATGGAGATGATGAAGATGATGAAGATGATGAAGATGATGAAGATGATGAAAATGATGAAGATGATGAAGATGATGAAGATGATGAAGATGATGAAGATGATGATGAAGCTGATTGGGATCATTGATGTCAAGGATGCACATGAAACATATTGGAACAACCGTGGAGATGAGAGAGATGATGGGGATGATGAAAAAAGATGATGAAGATGATGAAGATGATGATGATGATAGATGATGAAGATGATGACGATAATGAAGATGATGATGATGATGATGCGGATGAGGATGAGGATGATGATGATGAAGCTGATTGAGGGGGCCCTCCCGCAGGAGGAATTAAATAATTTAAATATGAAGGCCCCGATTTAAATATGAATATTTAAATCGGGGCCTTCATATTTAAATTATTTAATTCCTCCTGCGGGAGGAAGCCCGGCCCCCCCCCCTCCAGGATTTAAATTATTTAAATTATTTAAATTATTTAATTCCCGGGCCCGATTTACATAATTTAAATATGAAGCTCCCGAATTAAATATTCATATTTAAATCGTGGCCTTCATATTTAAATTATTTAAATCGGGCCCGGGAATTAAATAATTTAAAAACATTTAAAGAATTTTAATAATTTAAATAATTTAAATAATTTAAATCCTGGAGGGGTGGGGGGGCGGGCCTCCTCCCCCAGGAGGAATTAAATAATTTAAATATGAAGGCCTCGATTTAAATATGAATATTTAATTCGGGGCCTTCATATTGAAAATTTTTAATTCCTCCTGCAAAAGGAGGCCCGGCCCCCCCCCCCTCCCGGATTTAAATTATTTAAATTATTTAAATTATTTAAATTATTTAAATTATTTAAATTATTTAATTCCCGGGCCCGATTTAAATAATTTAAATATGAAGGCCACGATTTAAATATGAATATTTAATTCTGGAGCTTCATATTTAAATTATTTAATTCGGGCCCGGGAATTAAATAATTTAAATAATTTAAATAATTTAAATCCTGGAGGGGGGGGGGGGGCCTCCTCCCCCAGGAGGAATTAAATAATTTAAATATGAAGGCCTCGATTTAAATATGAATATTTAATTCGGGGCCTTCATATTTAAATTATTTAATTCCTCCTGCAAAAGGAGGCCCGGCCCCCCCCCCCTCCCGGATTTAAATTATTTAAATTATTTAAATTATTTAAATTATTTAAATTATTTAAATTATTTAATTCCCGGGCCCGATTTAAATAATTTAAATATGAAGGCCACGATTTAAATATGAATATTTAATTCGGGATGGACTTCAAGTATTTAAATTATTAACAAATCGGGCCCGGGAAGTAAATGAATTTAAATAGGTTTAAATAAGTTAATATAGATCTTAATCATATGTTAAATCCTGAGGGGGGGGGGCCGGCCTCCTCCCCAAGAAAATGAAATAAGAAATATGAAGAATGATGATGGATGAATGAAGCGGATGAGGATGAGGATGATGATGATGAAGCTGATTGAGGGGGCCCTCCCGCAGGAGGAATTAAATAATTTAAATATGAAGGCCCCGATTTAAATATGAATATTTAATTCGGGGCCTTCATATTTAAATTATTTAATTCCTCCTGCGGGAGGAAGCCCGGCCCCCCCCCCTCCAGGATTTAAAATATTTAAATTATTTAAATTATTTAAATTATTTAATTCCCGGGCCCGATTTAAATAATTTAAATATGAAGGCCACGATTTAAATATGAACATTTAATTCGGGAGCTTCATATTTAAATTATTTAAATTCATATTTAAATTATTTAAATCGGGCCCGGGAATTAAATAGTTTAAATAATTTAAATAATTTAAATACTTTACATAATTTAAATAATTTAAATAATTTAAATATTTTAAATCCTGGAGGGGGGGGGGCCGGGCCTCCTCCCGCAGGAGGAATTAAATAATTTAAATATGAAGGCCCCGAATTAAATATTAATATTTAATTCGGGGCCTTCATATTTAAATTATTTAATTCTTCCTGCGGGAGGAGGCCCGCCCCCCCCCCTCCAGGATTTAAATTATTTTTAAATTCCCGGGCCCGAATTAAATAATTTAAATATGAAGCTCCCGAATTAAATATTCATATTTAAATCGTGGCCTTCATATTTAAATTATTTAAATCGGGCCCGGGAATTAAATAATTTAAATTTAAATAATTTAAATAATTTAAATCCTGGAGGGGGGGGGGCGGGCCTCCTCCCGCAGGAAGAATTAAATAATTTAAATATGAAGGCTCCGAATTAAATATTAATATTTAATTCGGGGCCTTCATATTTAAATTATTTAATTCCTCCTGCGGGAGGAGGCCCGCCCCCCCCCCTCCAGGATTTAAATTATTTAAATTATTTAAATTATTTAAATTATTTAATTCCCGGGCCCGAATTAAATAATTTAAATATGAAGCTCCAGAATTAAATATTCATATTTAAATCGGGGCCTTCATATTTAATTCAGGCCTGGGACCCCCCCTAGGACCTAAAATAGGGTCTATTTGGAAGTTGGCTCTTGTAAATAAGTATACGTTTTGGGGCCTTTTTTCCTCTTGTGAACACGAGTGCCAGCTTCCAAATAAACCCTATTTAAGCTGCACACCCCCCCCCCCCCCCCCAAACCCTGTTATTAATGCCCCGAAAAAGGATGGCACAGTTTTTGGTCGCTGGCTGAGGGGATGCTTGTTATTTTTACGCTTTGTCTCTGCGCCTGGGGGCCAGCCAACTCGACTCAAATTCTTTTATGCCAAACAACGACGATGTGGTGCACCAAGGTAGGGTTATGTAAGGCTTCTAGCTGAGAGAGAGGGATATACATATATGTATATGTATATATATATATGGGTATATATATATACATACATATATATATATATATAGAGGTGTAGGATACAAAGAGCTGCGTAATTTTACAAGGGGTTAGGTAAATGGCCTATAGGAAAGCCATTGTGGATCTTTCACATGTTTTTCTTTATCTTCGAGGATCTTCATCACAAGGGCATACGAAGAAAGGGGGAGGGGGGTGAATCTGGGGGAAACGCGGGGGAAGCATCCCAAAACCCACTCGAAATCCTGAACCGTGAGCCCGAAACCCTAAACCCTAAACCCTAAACCCTAAACTACCATCCCTAAACCCCAAAAGCTCTCCGGGCACAGGTCGTGCGTCTCGGTTGGGCTCAGGCAGGCCGGGATCGCCTCAAGGAGGTGCCCAGCCTGGTTGGCCCCAGAATTTTTACCAATTCTTGCCTTTTAGGGGCTTATATCGGGTACCTCATCATCCTCTTATTTTAACCCTTTAAGGGATTATATAGGGTACCTCATTACCCCCCCTATTTTTTACCCTTTAAGGGAGTACATAGGGTACCTCGTTATCCCCCCTATTTTTACCCTTTAAGGGAGTACATAGGGCACCCTCATCCCCCTCATTCCCTGCCAACCAACACAAAAGTCTCGAAATCTGCCGAACGAGGCGGGCGTCTCGGTGGACTGGCGAATCTACGCAGCTCGGGCTTGGTTGGCTTTAGGGGTTCGGGGTTTAGGGTTTAGGGTCCCAATGCCTGCACCTTCCGTAGGGGCTCCCAAAATCCCGAAAGAAGGCCCATCAGCAGAAAGTTACTCCCCGTGTCTGAGCCGCCAACAAAGTCCAGGCGTTTCAAGCACCCCTAAACCCTAAACCCTGAACCCTGAACCCTAAACCTTAAACCCTAAACCCTAAACCCTACACCCAAAGAACAGGAAGACATGGGCCACAGCGCCTGTGACGAGGAGCTGGAAGACGTGGCAGACTGGATCGCCGAACGCTTCGGTTGACTTCGGTTAAAAAGGCGGCCGCCAGATGTGTTTCCAACATAGGGTTTAGGATTTAGGGTTTATCCAACATAGGGTTTAGGGTTGAGGGTTGAGGGTTTAGGGATGCTAAACAAAAAACAAAAGGGATGCTAAACCCTAAGCCCGAAACCTAAACCAGGTGGGGTGCCCAGAACGAATTCACCAAGATTCCGCCCTTGCAAAGCGGAAGTCCAGGGAACCCCCCCGGAACCCCCCCTGAGGTCGACCGCATAATAAAGCTTGATATAGCTTCTACTAATCCCTTCCCCCCATTTACTGAACGTACCCCTACTACTAAAAAACACTTTCCGGAAAATCCTGCCGAAACCGACCCCACCTTTGAAAACCTATTCCCAATTGGCGGGGGGGGGGTGGGTTCAGGGTCTCAAAAGCCTCCAAGCCCAATCCTAAACCCTGCAACGCCATCCCAAAAGATGACATATGGATAAATACATCCCCCTAATCTTAAAAACGCATTTCGAGTTTCTAGGGGGGGGGAGGGGGGGGGGGGAGGGGGAGGGGGGGGAGGGGGGGGGGGGAGGGGGGGGGGGGGGGGAGGGGGGGGGAGGGGCCTTTGTTGAATAATCGGGGGAAAGGATGAGTAGGGCTTCGGGCTTTGGCTTTGCGGGCAACCCTAGCTCCTTAGCCTCGCAACCCGAAACCCACAGCTGAAATCCATAGTCCTTGTAAGCCTTGAACCCTCCACGTCAGCCCCATGTTCGGCACAAATCCACCTACGCAGCCATGAGTACCTATATCATGAGGCAGCAGCACAAAGAATCTCTTTCCTTAACTGATGTTATCCACGCCCCTCTGAAAAAAGGCGTGTGTGCCTGGTGTGTCGTGTCTTGGGGCCATCATCTTAGGCATACCGCTCCTCATCCTCTGGAACCTTGGAGCCTCGGGTGCCCTCTGGTTGGGCTCGGGGGGGCTTAAGGGGGTTTTAGGGTGCAAGAAAGGGCCTTAAGGGGGTGAAGAAAGAAGACTTAAGGGCTTAAGGGGCTTAAGGGGGTTTGCCCCCGGTCACAATCGGTGACTCCAACAGGCTTCCAACAAGCCCTTCCGCAAGGAAGGGCTTCGCAGGAAAAGGGTTTTGGGGGGGTGGGTTATCGGATTCCCTGGCGCGGGAATCATTCTTTGGCTTTTTGCAGGGGCATGCTTGCTTAGATGCTGGATGTTGTGTTTCACTCTAAACAAGGCTGAAAGCTGGGGAATAGGTTTTAGAATTTCGGGCATCGGCTGGTAGAGCCTGGGCACCGGGGTGAGGGCAGCCCTTGCTTGCTACAAGGACTCGCGGTCTTTGTGCTAAGCCCGATTTGCGTGGCGCTCTTTGTGACTCATCCGATCCGCCGCGGGCTCATGGGTTGAGAGTTGAGAGGCGCTGTGAAGGAGCGTCCTTTTTGTCGGCAGACCAGTCCTGTGCCTCACAAGCCTTGCATAGTTTCGGAAAAGCAGCTGAACCTCCCCCTGTCCAGACCCAACCCCAACCACTACACCTACAGCCGAATATGCTGAAGGCCCCAAGCGATCCCCGATGTGCATAGCTCGGCCGGCAGGGGGCTTCCCAAGCCTGCCCAGAAACAAACCCCCAAAGCCCGACTTCTTCAAGGACTCAGTCGAGCGGCGGTCTTCGTGCAAAGCATCGTCTGCGCCATCTACAGCCACGCCTCCGCAGGGTTTGGTGAGAGTAGGGGCTTGGGAAACTCGGGGCTCGGAACCACGAACCCCAGGGAGTTGCGCAGGGTTGAGGGTTTAGGGTTTAGGGCTGAGTGCGGGGGGTTTGGACTGAGGTCTCGTCCTGTTCGTCCAGCTTCTTATGTGGCCACTTGGCAGCTGAAATGTTTACGAGGCAAAGTAGCCGTGGCAAACCGGCATCTTTGGTACGTAGCCAAAAGATGGGGATGTGAACATACAGAAACGATATAATTCCTAGTGGCCACTATTAACAGCAGTGCAATGACCGGGGGAATAAAGTCATATCATGCCGCTTACTTTTTGAGGATAGGGAGTTGATGGCAACGTTTACGTATATGAAGAGTGCGTGAAGGTATACAGAGGGTGGTGGCCCCCAAAATGCAACTGCCTGACGGTCTCTGAATATCCATGTAAAACAACAAATGTGGCAGTCGCAAAATGCATGTGGTCAGTGGGTGCCGTCTCGAGATTAAGTACCGCTGTCTAACAAGCAACGACAAGCAATGTGACAGCGCAGAGACAACACTTTGAACGGATTGGCTAAAGAGTCTCTTTTGTTAAGACACGGCGGGTCCCGGTCGAATTGCTGATTGCTGAGTCCGTTGGGAAGACACAGAATAGGACCAGACCCTGTTGGTCATGAGGTTACCTAAACATGCGTCAGGGAGCGCTTGGCAGAAAAACCTACATTAGATAATCTTTATCCCGTGACAATGCTTGTATGAAAGCAATTCCTTGTCGAAGGCAAAGTGTTGCTTTAGGTAGGGCTTTGCACCATCCCTAAGCCCTTAACCCTTAAACCCTGAACCCTAAACTCTAAACCCTAAACCATGCCTTTTTCCAGCAGAGCGATGCAGAGGCTACTATACCGAGCACTACGACCGTGGTGCCCTCGTCTTGGGGTTCGGGACTAATGTTTACCCAGCCAGCACTGTACAACAGAAGACGTATTTCATGGACTCAATGCTCATAGAGCACATGTGCATGAAGCGTGTAGTGGGTGTTTTCTAGGGCTTAAGGTTTGGCATGACCTTGTCACTTCTTATTGGCCAGGGTTTATCATTCCAGTGCACGGCTGGGACATGGGGTTCTACATAGTTGGCAAGGATCTCCACACTCTTGGGGCTCTGCGTCCGTTAAAATATATGGGAAGCCATGTGATTACAATGGGCATGCTGGGACAGCTTTGGGCAGCTTGAGTGATAATTATGTAGGGATCACGAGGTGATTTGACTCCCGTGTAATCCAGCTTAACTCGGAAGAGTCGAGATTGCAGTTCCATAGGAGCAAAAGGCGTCGTCAGTTGGTCCATGCTTCAAGCGGGCTGCAAAAACAGTCCTAGTAGGCATTCCCGGCATTGCCCTCAGTCCGTGGTGAGCGTCAAAAGGGGACTCACGGATCCGTTGATGAGACTGCCTTGCAAAGTGGCAGCTCGAGAGGTATGCGCTGACCTGGATGACGAAAGGAAAGGTGTCCATGCCAGGGCTGACCCACTCCAAGGAGCCCCCCAGACCAATGGCTGAGTGTGTGTGTGTGTGTGTGTTAAGCGTTTTTGCCGATGTTTTTAGGGCTTATCCACCCAGATGCGGTTCATGTACAGATCTGCGTCAATACCATAGGTTGCTCGAGATTTTTGGACCCTGGTATCTGCAAACTTTGCGCCTCTTCTGTTGACCCCCGTCATCCCCCGCCGCCTTCAAAAATCAGCTCCTAGACTGCTGGGGGACTCACTTGGGGGTCGCTTCTTGCGGGCGAGTCGTGGGGATTTTCTTTTGGGGAGCCCGGAGAAATCTCCTTCCCTCCCTTTGTGGACTCATCCCTTCCAGTTGACCCCGGGGAGGGGCAAACCAGGTAGGGAGGACCCGTTTCAACCTAGGCCCTGTGACCCTAGACACCAAACGCGCCAGTCGTGAGAGTCGAAACACCAAATGAAGACATGGCGGGTGGCAAAAAATATGTCACGTCCCATGACCGAAATTGAACTACGTGGCTCTGAACTGGCTGGCAGAACCCTTTTCCGGCGTGCTGACCCTTCCGCTCGGTGAGTTGTCCATTTGTCAGGACATTCACCCCGTGATCCTGGAGGCCCAGTTTCTCAGACGGGAGTTTTCTGGGAGAGTCCGGCTGTAGTAGAACTGTATGACCTGCACGAGACTTGCATAATCCGCAATTTCGCAGCTCCCTGATCCCCGATATCTTCAAGCGCCAGGCTGACTGCCTGTGCGGCTGCGAGTATGCTGCAGCTCGGCACATGGAGCACTGTTGCAGTGTGAACCTCCAAGCCCCCAACACCCTGAACCCTGCTCCGTCTCGTTCGACCCTCCGAAGTATAATTTGGGGGTTTAGGGTTCAAGCACCCTGTTTCGTGAAGCATCTTAGGCTCAGGCTGCAAGTGGAAAAGGGTTCTTGTGTGCAGGGTGACCAAAAAGTGTAGCCTCCTCATGATTTTTGATACCCTTAACATGGCTAAGGCCCCGAAGGTTGGGCGGCAACCTCAACCCTAAACCCTAAACCCTTAAAAAGTTGACGCTTGGAGGTTCAGAATCTCACGGCTTTTGCTTCGCCCAGGGGCCTCGGAAGCGTAAACGAATGTGGGTAGTTCTCTTCAAGGGTTCCCTTGCTATAGATGGGGGCCCAAAAAGAGACCCTTATTTAGAGAACTACCCATCTACACCTTCGCCTCATCGCCTTTTGAGAGAGTTCTTGTCTTCTTGGCATGGGCCTTGAAGGAGTTTAGACCCTCGGAGGCTGAAGGGTGCAGGGGACACTCGGGCCCTGCAGGGAAAGGCGCCGCAGACCTTGAGGTTAGGCTTCGGGATTGAAGAATGAAGGGCGAAAAAGGGTGGGTTCAAAAGCCTTTGAGGTCAGCAACTACGCCTTGTTGCAGCTTGTAACGTGGTGGCCTCAGCACTGGCTTCTTTCGGGTTGCGGTAGCTCAGCCAAAGGTTTACCAGGGCAGGGTGTGCCCTTGCTGCAGCCCTAAACTTCAAAAAACCCTACATCCCTATAGCCTGAACCCTCAACGAATGCAGGCTACTCCTCTATGGTTCCTGCAGGATTTTGGGACTCTTGGGTGAACAGTGCTGAATGCTACATGAGACGTGCATGCGTTGAGGGTGCATTATGCGAGCCTTTAGTTGCCTGGATGGCACTGCAGTGCGTCCGACGTTTGAAACCCTGGAGCCGAGCCTAAACAAATTGTGGCAATCCACCCTCCCTGTGACGCAATGCTTTGCGAGCGTTTTCCACCCAACAAAGCACAGCCCCTAAATGCCAGGACCTTGAGGCCCTGAAGGTAAACCCTGAACCATCAAACATGAATCACAGCACCTACTAATCCCGAATGTGAGTGACCCTGCAAAGTGGACTTCACTTCAGCAAGGCAGGAGGCAAGAAAAACTCGTACCGCAAAGCCACGATTCGTGGAGTGCGCGCACTGCAGTTCGAAGTGTGTTACAGAGCCTGGCTGCCCAAACTAAGGTGTAGGGTTGCAGGTGTAGGGTTGCAAGGACTGTGGGTCTGCTTAAGCTTCCAAGCAACATGCCAGGTTTGAAGGGGCCCAATGTAGCTGGGCCATTTTAATTTTACCCCGGGTAGGGAAGTTTAGCCCCAGCACTAAAATCTATCAGATATCAGCTACTGGCTTTTCAGATCCTGTAGGGCCCTTGTCCCCACTTCAGGATTGCGTTGACCTCCTTGGTGAAGTCCCTTCTGGTGGCGCTGCGGTGTCTCAAAGGCTCCGTGCTTATCTTTAAGGCCCGAAAGGAAGGACCCTTATGAGGGACCTTAGGGGTTACTTAGGGGTTCTTTGGGGGCTACTTAGCTATATAGGGACTATTTAAGGTAGATATAGGGGTTATACAGGGGAAGAAGATAAAGGGTCTCTTCTAAGGGTCCCTCCTTATACCCTTGCGCCCTTGCGAGTTCGCACGAAAGCCCCACCATGATAGGAAGCCTTGTATCTAGGGAGGCTAGGTCCCCAATTAATCAGCTACAAACGATGGTGCCCTTTTCATTGCTAGGTTGTTGGCGAACCTCGTAGCTTCGATGCGAACGAAGGAAGACTGCAGTTCGACTGCCGGATGGATTTCGGCCAAGCAACGATTCAGCACTCACATGCCTATAAGCGAAAGTCCGTCCTGTACAGCACCACGGCAAAGCTTACAAGCAGCAGTCTTGCAACCCGAGACTCGCCTGGATCTGATTGCAAAAGGAAACATATCCACCCAAACATGATGGTGTGGTTTCTGGACCTTGAACATAAAGGGTAGAGAGAGATTACGAGAAATTACTCTCAGGCAAGCCCTGAACACTAAGGGAAGGCTTGTCCTCCAATGTTTCTGCCACCCGGAAGCAACAACAGACCTACTACATTGAGGGTTTAGGATTTAGGGTGTAGGGGAGGTGAAAATCTGGCTCGACTTGAGTCCAGTAGCAAAAAGGGTTTAGGGTTGCCTTTCTTCCGAGTTTTTTGGGTTGCTGCGGCAAAGCCGCCGCGCAGGCCTCCGTAACGCACAGTGGGCCAACCTGATCACCGTCCTCTTCAATGCTTCTCGCATGGTTCAGGGGCCTTTAGAGTTTTGGGTGTAGGGTTTAGGGTCTTCAGGCTTCAGGGTTCAGGGTTCAGGGCGGGCAATGATTATTCACTCTACAGACTCCGAAATCCATGTCCGGCGACTTTTGCCGATGTCTATCCTGAGCAAGAGCCCCCCCCTCCCCCCTCCCCCCAGAGGCTTAATCTTAGAATCTCAAAGTTCAGGGTTGATGTTTTGGGGCCTTGGGTTTCTGCTGCACGAGTCGGTGGTTAATCCCCGGCTTGGAAGGGTTTATAGGGTTTATAAAGGTCTACAGGGTTTTTAGGGGGTTATCGGGTTCATCGGGTTGATAGGGTCTAGGGGTTTAGAGTGTTTAGGCCTCCATGCTGATGATTTTCATATAATTTGTCCCCTATAAACCCTGAAGGGAGCACAGCCGCGGCCCGAACGAAGGAAGCCTTCCCCTGGAATGATCAGCTTTCGGGGGCCTTTGGGCTTCAGGCTGTTGTGCAGATGCCTTGGGGCGTCAGGGCTGGGGTGCCTGCGGCCCTGAGGCTTCTTTAGCCTTTTTTGGTTGGTTCAGAGTTCCCTTCTAAAGCGTCCGACCCAAAAAGGGTAGATTTGCTAGAATATGTCTACTGGGGGTGCCAAGCTTTCAAGCTGAAGGGATCCAGGCCTTCTATGTTTCTTTTTCTTCTTCTTCTTCTTCTTCTTGAGACTTCTCTTCGGGCGCCTGAATTTTCCAACGCCTGGGATTGTCGCGAAACCAGATGCCAAAAGGAATGCACCCCAAACCCTCCAAACCCAAAGAACCTCAGACCTTGTTTTAAACACACAACCCCTCAAAGCCCCAACGCCGGAGACACCATAATCCTAGGTAGGGTGGGGGGGGGCCTTGAACAGGATCCTATCCCCTGCATGAGGTTCCAATCAACATCTACCCGGTCACGTGGGCCTCCATCGATGCCGAGCTACCCCCTGGAGTGACGGAGGAGACGGAGACCCAGGGAGCCGCTAGCCCGAATTTAGAGTTTATACACATATACATGTATATGTATATATATATATGTATATGTATATGTATATGTATATGTATATGTATATGTATATATATATATATATAAATCAGTGTGTGTGTGTGTACATATGCATATATATATATACATACGTGTGTCGTGTAGTGTTCAATTGATTTCCGGGGTTCTGGGCTAGTAAGGACTTTGCGGAGGTTGCTTGCTGCTTACCTCTGCCAGGGCTGGAGCAAGGTTTCGTTTCATTGCTGTCGCCTACGCATGATGCCTCAAACTCAAGCCCTTCCTGCAGCTCGGTTCGCCCAGCTAGCAGGAGCGAAAAGAAACGCAGCATACATGGCACCTGCACCTGATGCACCAAAGCTCGTGGCTGAGGGTTTTGCTGGAAGTTTTTCAGCACAATGGGCTACCTGCAAGATCATTCTCCTGGTAAAGAAGCCCTTCTAAAACCTTGTAAAACCCAGATAGAACCCACAGACCCTTGTTAAAACCCGCTTAAAAAAAGAGGTAAACCTCGTCCCGTCGTCCCTATCCAAGGAGCCTGCCTTCGACCCCTTCGTGCCGACCTCAGCCCAGCAGAGTTACACACGGGGAAGTGTAGCAAGTGAGGGGAAGGGGGGCGTCAACCCTAAACCCAAAAAGCTTCGGCCCTAGACCCTAAAGCTTATTATCGCCCTAAACCCTACAGGCCCTACATCCTTTTGTATCGTTAAAGAATCAACCTTGTGGGCTTGGGAGCCCAATCCCTGCCCTTGTCAACGACGCAGCTTCGGGCGGTTTAGAGCTGAGGCCTCTCGTTTAGGTTTCGGGCTTGGGGTTTAGGGATGTTTAGGGTTTGGGGGTTTGAGAAGGGTGTAGCTGGGTGCAAGGCTTAGGGGAATGAGCCCTGGGGCTTTCGACGCGGAGGGGTCCCACGTGCACTCGCCCAGATCCCCACCATCAAAAATCGAGACGTCCAAAAGAGGACTCCGCCAGGCGCTTCAGGCTTTGGGACCCATGAGTCGATAAACTACAATAGTATAGTCATATTGTTAAGATCACATTTTGAGGGGGTGCTTAGGGTTCAGGGTTTAGGGTTCAGGGTTCAGGGTTCCCACTTCCACCCACCGGAGGTTCTGATGGATGAGCAACTGAACAGCGGCAACACCCGGCTGGAGCTGGCCGCGGCCTGGACGTGGACCCTTGGGCTTGGGCTTTGCTTTCAGGACCCTTTTGAGGTTTAGGGTTTAGGGTTTAGGGTTCAGGGGTCCAGGCAGTAGATTTCTGCTCCATGAGCTGTCTTGAGATCTGTTTGGTTTCAGGTTTCTCTTGGTAAAGTCTGCAAAGGGGCCCAGGGTCGCTCTTCAAGGGAGGCCAGAGGTGAACTCGAGACTTTGAGTTGCGTTGTGTGTGTGTTTGCACACCTGTAGTTAGGGGTCGGATTCTTGTCATGAGGGCCCGTGGTCTTGGCGGGACCGCGGACACATGTCCCCCGCCAAGCCCTAAACCATTTCTGAACCGGCTCCCAGGGGCGGCACCAGCCCTCCTCGCGTTGCTTGTTCGCAAAGGGGCACCGGTCACGAAGTATTCAGTCGAAGCCCTAAACCCCAAACCCGACACGCATCATCCAACTCAAGCCTCCGAACATGGCTATAAGATGCCCCAGGGCTTCGGGCATGCGGGGTTTTAACAGGCTTGAGGGTTACGCAGTCTTGGCGGCTTCGGGGTTCATAACTTCATAACCTTGAGCCCTAAACCAGTGCGGGACCTCAGACCGCCCCACCGCCTCCCCCCCCCCCTTGGACCCAACATTTACAGGGTTCTTAAGGCAGGCGGGTTCAAGAGGGGTATGTAACGTTTCCCTAAGGGTTCCCTACGTGCCTACCCCCCCATGAACCCCCTAAACCCTAACCCCCTTAAGAATCCTATAAACCATCCCCAGTGTGGCGACGTAACGCCGCGAGCCGCGGATGCGATCGGCTGCTGCGGCTTTCCCTACGCCCGGAGCCTTCAGGAAGTCGCGGAGAGGGCAAGAGTCACACCCCGAGGTTGCAAATCACCCTGAGGTTTAGGGTTTAGGGTTTAGGGTTTAGGGTTTAGGGGTTTAGGGGTTTAGGGTTTAGGCTTCATAAGTATCGGCTGTAGGGTTCCACGCTCGAAGCCCTACATTCCCAAGCCCCGAGTGCCAATCAACGCAAGGTCCCCCAAGCCCCTGGGCACAGCCAGGGTTTTAGGGTTTTTGGGTTTTAGGGTTTTGGGGTTTTGGGGTTTTGGGGTTTTGGGGTTTAGGGTTTTAGGGTTTTAGGGTTTTAGGGTTTTGGGGTTTTGGGGTTTTGGGGTTTTGGGGTTTAGGGTTCAGGGTTCAGGGTTTCGGGCCAGGGTTAAAGGGCTACATGACTTGGGGGATGTTTATATTTATGTAGGGTCTTCTGATAGGACGACGGGCGTTGTTGTTTTTCGAGTCTCTTGTTGTGAAGAGGAGCTCAGCCCTGGAACTCCAGAATGGGATTAGGATTTGGGGTTTAGGTTTTAGGGTTTAGAGACCTCGTTGCAAAAGGGTTTAAGGGTTTAGACTTTAGGCTCTCAGCAGATGTCCGGGCGCATTCATGTGTGGGGGATGATGCTGGAGGTCGGTGTAGTTTGCCTGTCTTCTTGCGAAGCCTACACCTACTTGTTTGTAGGCTATAGTTTTAAAGCCCTTACTAGGATTCTGAGGTACTCGTATCTTACAAGAAAGTAGGTCTTAGTTTCTTTCGATCTAAGGGTGTTCGAAGTGCTCCACCTCACCGGGAAACTGGACCCTGTGCTTTCCAGGACCCTGTCGATCCTGGCAGTCCTACGGAGTCCACCGTCCCGCTCCTTGCTGCTTAGGTAGTAGCGGCGGACGAGAATTTACACTGTTTCAGAGATGCAACGGTGATGCATGCTGCAGGTCATGTGTGGGGAAACCCGTCGTCCAAGAGGGAACCTACCTTATGATTCTTTTTGGGGGGACAGGTATGTTGAACAATTCCCATGTACCAGCAAGCGCGCCTGCTCCCTGCGCATGTTCTGCATGCTATTGATTGCAGCGTTGGAGATCTTAGCCTCTGCAGAGGATGCCAAAAAAAGCAGTGGCAGTGCCCGTGCCTTTTTCGTGCCTCATGTTGTTTGTTCTGCACCTCGGTTGTGTGGGCTTCTGAGACAGTACGAGGGAACATGCAACAGTACAATATTGCCTGCGTCTTTTCAAAATCTACAGTTTCTCCCCCACCACCGACCCCATATCCCCGAATTGCGAAGGGTCCCTAAACCCTAAACCTCCAAACTTGCAGGGTTTCGGGCTGAAGGGCTGGCTCAGCTCGCGCAGGCGGCAGACGCAGAGGAGGCGCCCAGGGCACCTTGGGGTAGGAGGGGTTGGGGTGGGTGGGGAGGATGTGGCAGGGCGAAGTTTCATGGCATGCTTGCTGCTGCATTTCCACCCGAAGCTGCGATGGTAGTTTGCCACGTGCTTTCGGATCGATTTGCGCCAGGTGCCAAAAACCTGTGAGACTACCCTGAATCACAAAGCCTGCTGCAGTCCGCAGCCCGCCCAAATGCCTGTCAAGCTGGTGTTGGCCAGGGTGCCATGTGCCAAGACACCTGTTCCGGCAGTTATGAGAAAATTAGCATGCAGTTGGGGGCTCCTTGGAACTACCTTTCAGCCTTCTTATCTCGCATTGAGAGGAAACTTGGACGGTTCAGTGGCCCCAATATGCGTTGCCGCCTTCGTGGGAAGAGACTCTCCTCAACAAAGCCCATGACTTGCGCCCGGAATCTGCGAGTGCGTCTCGTAGCCACAAATGCTCGTGGGACATTGAGGAGGCCTTTCTTGGATCTCGGGTCTGGGTCGCGAGAGGCGAGTCCAATCAACTAACCCGAAGCGAAAGGAGCTGGAGGATCTGCGAACGCAGGTCGCTGCCTTCTTGGCGCAGCTCCCGCCGGGCTTCCGAGCCCTGGGGTGATTTACCCTAAACCCTAAACCCTAAACCCTAAACCCTAAACCCTATTGGGTTTGGGTCTAAAGGGTAAAGCTCGGGGTGATTTTAGCATCAGCGTGGCTTCAGACCCCGAGCCTTGAAATCTTACTCGGCTTCGGCTCTTCGCTGCTGAGAGGCGCTTGGGTTTTGCACACTCCTAAGGTCCAGTATTGCAACCTCATGGTTCAATGGTGATTCTCATGTGTTCTGATCATAGAAAGACTTGTGAGGAACCAATATGCTGATCATGGTGATGCTGGTGCTTCCGATTGGGATGATGAGATCTTCTCGCGTGAACTAGCATCACCATAGTAGTGAATCTTCAAGGGCAGCGTTGCAGGGGCTTGCTCGACTAGTTTAGGGTATGCTCTCCGGAGACCTGTGCAATCCAAAAAGACCCTATACAGTTATAAGATGCGCAACAGAGAAACCCTGTTCTCATGAAGCAGGCCCCCTTTTTGTATGTAGGAGTGGTGTTAAGAGAGCGTGGTCAGCTGCCTAAGCCCTGGCACCTCTTAGTTTTGGGGCCTCGGACTCCCCATGCCCTTCAAAGCTCCGGAGCCCTGAAGATCCAGGCCGAAGGATGGCCGTGGGTAGCTGAGCTTGGGGGGGGGGGGGGGGGGGGGAGAGAACTACTTCCCAAGGTTTTTGCCAAGGCGCCAAGGCAGCTTGACTTAATCCTTTCCCCCTAGTACTGAAACCCCTCCCCACCCCGGCAAGTCTGAAATTCGGATCGGCAGGAAAGTGTTTTTATTTTGGGGGTTCTTTGGTAGTTGGGTACCTGCATCTTACCGTCCTTACACACGAATTTTGTCAGCCGGCTAAACTCTGGACTGTAACCTCCGAATAGACGGGACCGACTGCAGCTGCCTGAAGTGCGACGCTGAGGTCTCGTCCTTGACCGCTTGCTGCGCCGTCTGGCCCACGGCGAACCTTTGAGTGCCCGGAAGGTGGGGTTTAGGGTTTGGGCTTGTGGCAAGAGTTTCGGGGGGTGAGCACTCAAGGCAGCTTGCACGAAGCCCTTGAAAAGGCTTGATGCAAGACCTTCTGGGAAGCAGAGGGCTCGGGGGTTCATTGGCGTTGGGAGCATGGCAGTTTGCCTTTCAAAGTTCAGGATGAAAAGGGGGGGCTCCTAGGCTTGAGTGCAAGAGGGTGATGGCGTTTTGCCATCGGCTTTGCATGAGGTTTCGCAGGATTCTCGAATTTATTGGGCAACCCGAGCAAGTTTCAGCCTTCGGCAGGTGTCGGACCGTGTGGACGAGTCCTGCGAGTTCCTAGCGCCTCGGGCATGGCATGTTTGTAAAGTTGTAGGCATTGTTTGGTCACGTTGCAGGTGGTCGAAAGCAGTCGAAGCCTAAGACTGAAAAGTTAGGAGTTCTAAGCCCAGCGGGTTCTGCTGTTGCTTGCGCTTTAGATGTTTGTTTAAAAATGTTCGTAGAATAGTGTACAGTCTACAATAGTACAGTAACAACTACTATAGTAGCATAATCATATAATATAAGACCGTACTAGTAGAACAACATGTAGTGCGTGTATATATATATATATATACATACATATATATGGTCACCCCCCCCCCCAATGGACCCACCGCGGGCCTTGATCTTTGCAAAAGTACCGCAAATACCGATAAAACCTATGCTGTCTGGTGATTTTCCGGTGACCGGATTTTTGACTGTATTCCTTAATTCACCCTCTCACACACGCACGGAGGGTTTTTCTTTCTGTTGGCTTGTGTTTATAATTTAAGATCTAGGCATTTAAACCTAAGCCTGCAAAAAAAAGCCTTAACCTTTAAACCCTGTAGGGTTAAGGTTTAAAGGTTAAGGGTTTAAGATTTAGGCATTTGAACCTATGCCGGTAATTAAAGCTAAGCCCTTAACCTTTAAATTCTATCGGGTTGAGATTTTTACAGGTTTAGGGTTTAAGATGTAGGCATTTAAACCTAAGCCTGCAACTAATTTTAAACCCTTAACCTTTAAACCCTGTAGGGTTAAAGTTTAGAGGCTTAGGGTTTAATATTTAGCCATTTAAACCTGTAGCCAAGCCCTTAACCTTTAAACCCTATAGGGTTAAGATTTTTAAAGGTTTAGGATATAAGATGTAGGCATTTAAACCTAATTAAGCCTGCAACTAATTTTAAACCCTTAACCTTTAAACCCTGTTGGGCTAAGGTTTAAAGGTTTCGGGCTTAAGATTTAGGCATTTAAACCTATTCCGGCAATTTACGCTAAGCCTCTAACCTTTAAACCCTATAGGGTTAAGATATTTAAAGGTTTAGGGTTTAAGTTTAAGGTTTAGGTATTTAGACCTATGCCGGCAGTTCATATTGAACCCTTAACCTTAAACCCCATAGGGATGAGATTTAAAGGTTTAGGATTCTTTACTTAGACATTTAAATCCAAGCTGACGATTCAACCTAAACCCTTAACCTTTAAACCCTATAGGGTGAAGGTTTAAAGTTTTAGGGTTTAAGATTCAGACATTTAAACCTAAGACAGCGATTAACACTAAGCCCTTAACCTTTAAACCCTATAGGGTTAAGGTTTAAAGGTTTGGGGTTTAAGATTCAGGCATTTAAAGCTAAGTATGTAATCAATTTGTCACCCTTAACACCTCTAAACTCTGTAGTGTGAAGGTTTAAAGGCTTAGGGTTTAAAAAAACCTAAGCCCCCTAAGCCCATAGAGTTTAAACCTTAAGGGTTTAAGGTTTACGCATCTATTCCTTAACCCTAAACCCTCTAGGGTCAGGACCCTAAAGCCCTCGGCAATCAAGCCTAAACCCTTGACCTTCAAACCCCATAGGATGAAGGTTTAAAGGTTTGGGGTTTAAGACTTAGGCATTTAAACCTAGAGGGCATTTAAGCCTTAATCCTAAACCCTTTAGGGTCAGAACCTTAGCACCCTATAGGGGTCTAGCACGTTCAAAGGCTTGAACCCTACAGGCGCTGAAGGTATACATGTCCTATCGGTTTTTAAACCATTACACCCTGTAAGAAGGTTTAGGGTCTTTTCGGGGTCTATCTCTAAATTTCTCACGGGGTTAACCCTGCAGGGTTTAAAGCTAAAGGTTTAGGGTTAAAGGTTAAGGCAATACCTATAGGATTAGAACCTTATAACCCTGTAGTGCATGAGGCTTAAACCCCTAAAACTTAACCATCTTTTTCTCGAGAAAACCAAAAAAACCAAAAAAACCAAAAAAAACCATCTTTTCCAAAACTATGGGGCTGGGGCCTCCAAAAGATGGTTTTTTTGGTTTTCTCGAGAAAAAGATGGTTTTTTTGGTTCGAAACCATCTTTTTCTCGAGAAAAAGATGGTTTTTGAGCAGCCGCTCTTCGAAAAACCATCTTTTTCTCGAGAAAAAGATGGTTTTTAGAGATCTTACCCTGGAAAAACCATCTTTTTCTCGAGAAAAAGTGGTTTCCGGAGGTCTTGTCCTGGTAAAACCATCTTTTTCTCGAGAAAAAGATGGTTTTTGGAGGTCTTCTCCTGGTAAAACCATCTTTTTCTCGAGAAAAAGATGGTTTTTTGAAGGATGGTTGCTCAAAACAATCTTTTTCTCGAGAAAAAGATGGTTTCGAACCAAAAAACCATCTTTTTCTCGAGAAAACCAAAAAAACCAAAAAAACCAAAAAAAACATCTTTTCCAAAACTATGGGGCTGGGGCCTTCAAGAGATGGTTTTTTTGGTTTTCTCGAGAAAAAGATGGTTTTTTTGGTTCGAAACCATCTTTTTCTCGAGAAAAAGATGGTTTTTGAGCAGCCGCTCTTCGAAAAACCATCTTTTTCTCGAGAAAAAGATGGTTTTTGGAGATCTTGTCCTGGAAACACCATCTTTTTCTCGAGAAAAAGATGGTTTTTGGAGGTCTTGTCCTGGTAAAACCATCTTTTTCTCGAGAAAAAGATGGTTTTTGGAGGTCTTGTCCTGGTAAAACCATCTTTTTCTCGAGAAAAAGATGGTTTTTGGAGGTCTTGTCCTGGTAAGAGCGGCTGCTCAAAAACCATCTTTTTCTCGAGAAAAAGATGGTTCCGAACCAAAAAAACCATCTTTTTCTCGAGAAAACCAAAAAAACCATCTTTTGGAGGCCCCAGCCCCATAGTTTTGGAAAAGATGGTTTTGTTGGTTTTTTTGGTTTTTTTGGTTTTTTGGATTTTTTTGGTTTGTTGGTTTTTGTTAGTTTCTTGTTTTGTTGTTTTTTGCCTTGATCTGGCTAGGACTCGGCTGCCATCCGCGGTGGGTCCATTGGGGGGGGGGGTGAGCATATATATATATATACATATATATATATAATGCACAGTTTAGCAAAATAACGTAAGAGCAGAATCGTGCGAGAGTATCATCCTATAGCAACTAGGTAATTTTTACATGGGTCCGGGTGTACAACTGGAGTGGGCCATCCTCCAGAGTCGTCGCAACATCTGAAACGGGCTCGTTAAGCGTCAAAGCCCTTCAGAATCTGATCCTCAAGTTAGGCTTTGGAGGGTTTAGGGCGAGTCTCTGAGACATGAAAAAGCCTCGGCTTCAGAACGCAGGCGGAGTTGCTGGCCTTCTGCAGGGGAGGCGAAGCTACCTTGACAGAGGCGGGATTTCTGGGCTGGCCGAAGATGAGCTGCATTACCCTACCTGCTGCATTTTTAGAGCCTCCAGAAGGTCGTTTTTTTTTTTTTTTTTTTTCTTCAGCAGGCTCACTGTATACATTGCCTGGCAGGTTACATGTTGCACGTTCCTGAAAGCCACTAAAGAGGTCCAGCTGCTCTTGCTAGTACTCAAGATTGACAGTGCTACATAGTGCTACGAGCCTTCTTCATATTACAAGGGGAGTTCATCCAGATTCTGAGCTCTGTTGAGTTCCTAGCGAAGTGTAGAAAACCTCCCAAATCAGAACGCACTGCAAGTGGGCCCAATTTTCAGAAGCAGGACCAAATTCAATTACGGCAAAATGGGGCGGATGGTTCCCACGCTTCGTCTAGGCCAAATCCGAATGCCTTCCCCCCAGTTCAGGGGCCTCATACACCAGGTGGTGGCAACAACAAATGTTATGCTGTTACCCCTCTTCTTGTTGCCATTGTTTATACAGTTATCGCGATACTCTTGTCCATATTGTAATAGCTATTTATCTCCTACTATGACTACCATTGCTCTTATCTTGTTCTTTTTGTTGTTATTGTGTTTCTTGAAATATGACTAGAATACCACTACCACTTACCTCTACACTACCACCGCCACTACCAGTACTATTCCGACGACGACTACGGCTGGAATTAGGCTACAAAACAGGGGCATGTGTGGTACGCCAAGCGGTGCGCCAGCTCAATGACAGAAACCAACAAACACAAGAACAAGCATAAACACATGAAGTGTAGTCATACCCACAGTAATAAGATTCAGGCACGAGCTGTCAAAAACAAGGAAAAGTAGGGAAGCATATATCTGTTGACAGGTCAGGCCTCAGATCGGCACCTTTTTACGTCAGGAGAGCCCTCGACTACGAAACCGCGCAGGGGAGGCTCTGGATCACCCATCTTGGCTCAAGGCCCGAGCTTGGGAGTCATAGATATTGTAGCATCTGGCCTTCATCTTGCCTAATTGCTTTCGTGATTGTCGCTACCATGGCAGATGAGGACTTGCTCCTTGAAGGCATGCCCTCCGGCCCCGAAGACGTCGAGTCCCAGGCGAAGACCCTGGCCGGTCGGCGCATTCCCCCATGGGCCAAGGTGTCCTTGGGTGCTGTGCTGGTCGCGGCGATCCTGGGCGTCAGTCTCCCCTTCGCTGCCCAAGGCCTTCATTCAGCTCTTCAACCCTGCATTCGGGACCGGAGTGCAAGCGACAGATGCGGCCTTGAATGCAGTGGAGAGTACCGAGGGTCGGACTTTCAGCTACGTGACCTTCGAGCTCCAGAGCGGCGCTTTCGGTGCAACCCAGCCTCAGCTTGTGACGCACCCCATGAACCAGGCAACGGATTCCAGGATGCCCAGTAGTGCCCTTATCCCCTCTTTTTGGTGTTGGGATCCTTTAAAAAACCCAACGAAAGCCAAAAGGGGTGGCCCTTTTTCTCCTTGGTTGCTGGGGGGCCACTTGGAGGTTCACGGGTACTTATGGCCCAGATTGTAATTGTAACTCTACTTAAGACTTAGGGGGCTTGTAAGTGCAGCATGCTTGGGGTTATAAGTACCCTGCACCTCCAAAAACAAGGATTTCAAGCAGCTTGTTGATGCTATGCCTGCAACCGAGCCGCGCTACGCCATGGTCCACATGCCCAATCAGATGGTCTTTGTTCCTTTCTCCCCCTTGGGAATTATCTTGTTTTGTTAAATTTCTGTTTATATAAAACCCAAGAGGATATTAAGAGATATTATTATTACTATTACTATTACTATTATTATTCTTATTATTATCAAGGTTCTAAGGGGAGTATAGGTTCACTGGAGTCCGGACACGGCCATGGCCACCACGAAGTCGATGTACATGAGCTCGGCGAAGGGAATCCAAGACAGCCTCGGATCGCCGGTGAGCCTCTCGATTCTTGCAAAAGACAAGAACGAGCTGAGCCAGGAACTTGAGAAGATAGCTCACTAGGCTCATTATAAGCCTCAAGACTCCAGACTCCCCAGAGATGCTCATCTTCACCCCGTCTCGGAGCAAGACCCCAGACGCGGTTCTTCATCCCGTCTCAGAGTTAGACTCCGGGCTCCCAGACGCGGTTCTTCATCCTGTCTCAGAGTCTCTTGGTTTGACTTTGTCTCTCAATGCAGGTGGGCAGAAAAAGAAGCCCTGCTGAGCAGACATGTCCAGCTAGGGCGTCAGAAATGCTCCCAGAGCGGCTTCTACATCTACTCGCTTGGTTCAGAGACTGGGGTGCGTACTATAAGGTCCCTGTTTTCCAGTTGCTTTTCTCAGTGGAGGGTCTGGGGTATCGTTGCAGGGAGGGCTGCCTATAGGTTGCAAGAAGCAAGCCTCCTAGTCCACATGCGAAAGGACATTTCATATCGCTTGGGCATTGATAGTGAGCTTCCAGGCCCAGGATCCACAGGCATTTCGGGCTTATACTGCTGCTTGCTAAAGAACCCCCCAAAGAATACAGAATAATCGTCCCTATATTGCCCTTGAGGAAGAACACTTTTTTGGGCGGTTCTTAAGCAAATAGTACTGTAGGGCGGTCTAGGGTCTTGCCAGATCATGCATTCGGGCAGTTGTTGGGAAGTTCCCGGATTTACTTTAGCAGCGCAAATCTCAGCAAGCATGTTGGGTTCCTCGGCCACACTCCGTCAAGTCTGGACATCGAGACGTGTCTGAGAGGCTCAAAACTTAGCTGTGGCATCATCTTATATTATAGCCTATTGCCTTGTCTTGCGTTTTTTTCAATGTTCTTGTATTACTGTACTGCGGTATGACTATAACATCACCGTAGCATATTATAAAGTTGCTTTTTCTCGCGAGGCCAAGCCTCAACCGTAAACACACTCAGGAGTCGGCTCCCCAATCCGGGCAACCCAGAGACAGTTCTGAGCCTAAGCCCTTCTAAAACCCCAAAACACCTCAACCGCGTGCTTCGTGCTTCGTAGCACCCAAGCACCCAGAAGGTTCTGGGAGCAGAGTCCCACTATCTGAGGGGTGGGGGGGGGGGGAACCTTAGACCCTAAACCCTATAAACCTTGACCCCTGAACCCCAAACACTAAACGGTGTGGACTCGGGGGTTATTGTTGTGTGGCCCATGCGGGGATGGAGTCGGACTCCGACGAGCCGGGCGTGCCCTGCATCCCGACCCGGAGCTTGCTCCCGCGCAACTGCGATGATTGGAGCGCCGCTCTCCTTAACAAAGACTGATGTTTCAAGGGAATTTTGGAGTTTGGGCTTGAGGGTGAAAAGAGAGAGAGAGAGAGAGAGAGAGAGAGAGAGAGAGAGTCTGTAGCTCGGGCGCGCCTTGGCGCAGGGCTTGCCTTGTGCCCCAAAGAAAGAAAGAAGAAAGAAATAAAGAAGAGAGAGAGAGAGAGAGCGAGAGCGAGAGGGAGAGCGAGAGGGAGAGAGGGCGAGCAGTCTCACGCGATGGGACAACGCAACGGCTTCCTGCTTTGGAGTGTCAGAAGGGTTGTTAGTGAAAGAAGGGGGAGTCCGATCCTGAGCCCGGGGACGGATCGGGCGAGCCTTGCACGCGGAGGGCGCTTGCGCCCTTCATGCCCAGCAGAAGAAGAAGGAGGGAGAGAGGGAGAGAGGGAGAGAGCATGTCATAGGCAGCCGCAACACGCCCGGAAAGCGTGGGTCTCCGAAGGTTTTTGGGGGGCCTAAGGATGCCCCAAAGCTAGTGATGTAGTTGCACACTCCCCGCAAATCGAGCACCCCCGAAGAGCTTGCATATGCATGTAAACGCCGAAGGATTGGGAGACAGAGTTTGCCGCGCAGTACAACGAAGGGCAGCGGCTGATCCGCGGTATGGCAGATGCAGCCAGATCGTTGTTGGAAGCATTCTTGGCCTTTGGGATATAGGCAATCATGAGAGACAGGGGCTGTTGATTTTGATTCTCAACATTTTCCCGGAACTCATGGGAAGCCCAGCATCACCAAGGTAAGGCGACAGGAGAGTGCCTTTCTCCAACACAACTGGCATCAGCGAGGCCTGTAAACCTCACACACCACGAAAGCGCGTCATGCAGGGTCGAGTTGTTCGGGTCATCCTTCGGCTTAGATACGATTCTCATCCATACCCCAAAAGCCCTTCCTAAACCGAAGTTGCAGGGGCCTCCAAAGACGACTCCAGCTGCCTGTCCTTAGCCTTTTCGGGGGGCGGCGTCCGAGCTGCCTTCTTCGCGACCGGCGTGCTGTGGAGACTCGCCGAGTGTGGGCAGCTGAAGGCCCGCACTGAAACCCGAAACTTGTGGGGGTAGGTCCCCTTCAAATCGAGAAAAAATGGCAAGAAGCAGCTCACCAAACAGATGGTTTGGGGGGCTTCTCTCAAGGCTTGGCGCCCTGGAAGTCCTTGTTGGGGGGGTTGCATCAACATGTGTCCAAGAATGAAGGGCTATATATACATATATATATATAGAAGATTCCGAAGGACGTGGACTACATCTCTGGCGTGTCGGGCGGGACGTACGCGGCCACGGCCTTCGCCTCACATATTCTGGCTGCTGGCCAGCCCCGAGGCCTGGCTGTGGGGGCGATTCTCTTTCGGGGTCAGCTCGCTTCTTCCTCAGCAAATTTTGCCCACCCACAAGCCGAAGTCTAAAAGCCCCACCGAATCCACAGGATTGTGAGGATGATGGTAAGTGGAGGTTCCCGGTTTGCATGTTGAGAGTTCCAGGCTTTGCGCCCCCCCCAAGAAAACCGGCCCGACACGCAAAACGCCAGAGCCCGAAGCTGAAAGCTCGATCCAACAGTAGTTGCGCCTAGATGAAGATCCCCTTGTACCTCCCTCGCCCCCCCCTTACATTCCCCCCGCCCCCACCCCCTTGATACCCCCCTAATGCCGCACGTCCAGCAAGGCAATCTGGATCGTTGGTACCGCGAGCTCGTTGCATCGATGCGCCCCGTATGGCAATTGCTTTGATCCAGAGGGCGTTGCGTGTTCGGTGATGGTATGGTCGTGTTCAGTGTTCAGACCCCCAGGTCAAATTAGTCTTGCTCAGCTTGCTCTAGTGTGTCCGAAATGCCCATGACCCTCTTCACAAAGGCTGATTGACGAGGCACTGTTTAAAGTAGGCTTGCGCACCTGACCGTTGTTACAGAGACCTAACTTACGTGCTGCAGTTCTTGCATCCAGTCTAGGAGTTTAGGAAGCAGCGAAGTTATTCCAGCATTCCACTCGCGCCAACGCCCAGCCAAGGATCACGCGCATCCAGTACAACTGTCCGTACATCAGCAGAGACGTGGGACAGGCGGTGCTGCCAGAAACCCAGGTGGCTCGTTCTGCCGAAAGGTCCAGCTACAGTCGGAGTCAGGGAGAGAGAGACGTGATGGTGCGTGTGGGTATGTGTCTACGTGACACAGTTGGGACCTCTAGGTCCCTGCCAGGTGAGAGATGGAATGTAGGATGGCAGAACATCAAGCACCACGCATAGGATCGGCTTCCTTGCTTCCATGTTGGCTGGATGTCCGTTTGACTGGTACTTTTGTTGTGTTGGGTCGGTGAAAAGCAAGTGGGCGCGGTCCGGCCGGCTACCCGGATCTTGCGGGTGTAGTATATGCAGAGCATTGCAGAGCTGAGAATACTAGGGGAGCGAAAAAACACCCTAAACCCTATAAACCCTGTAAACCCTGTAAACTCTATAAACCCTATAAACACAATAAACCCTATACACCCTATAAGCCTATAAACCCTAAACCCCAACCCAACACATGCCTTCCATCCTGCTTTTGAGGATGGCTCGGGCTCTTTACCACGGTGCTGTGATCTTTACATGCTCTTGGCAGTGGCCGCTGGTACAGTGCTCAGGCCTGCGCGGAGGGTTCAGGGTTTCAGGGTACCGCCCCACGTTTTTTGGTAAGGGTTTAGGGTTTAGGGTCGAGGGTTTAGGGTTTAGGGTTGTGATCCAGCTTAGCGCATCTGTGGGGGCTTTTGTGGGGGATGCTAAGCAGAAGAGGGGCCACCACTGCTTGACGCAAGATGCTCCGAAGATACTGCGACTACTCCGACCCTAACCCCCAACAGAAACGAGAGCAACCTTCCAACAGCAAGATTCGTTTATTGCACAAATCATAGAGAGTAGAAGCAAAAAAAGTGCCAGCCTCACACTTTTGAGACCCTCAAGACCCCAAATCCTCCTGTCCTCCAGTTGCCCCAAAAGGGCGCCGGTGTCCATCAGCTGCCTCATCCTGCTTCCGGCGGTGCAGTTCATCGAGATGCTGTCTTTGGGCTTGACGGGGCCTAATAGGGCTACAGGGCACCACATCAGGATAGGGTTTTGAGGGGGGGCGAAGTTGGGTTGGTCCTCTTGAGGGTCCAGTTGATGGCTTTGTTTTACGGGTTTAAAGGCTGAGTAGTCCTTGGTTCTGAGAGTGTTCAAGTGGCCTCGTGCAATGTGAAGGTGGTGCGGACCGCTGCCCAGGTGGTGTGAGATGCATTGCAAACACGGGCTTGTGGTGGACCTCCGATACTCAGGGGCATGCGTTCGCGTCGTCAGCGGTCTTGCGAACCTTAAACGCATCGAAACAACAACTGCAAGCTTAAACCCCTCAACTCCCACATCTACAAGGCCACCACAGCGTCGGGAGAACGCGCTGACACCTGGAAGCCTGAAAGGCGCCAAGAGAACAGACCACCCCCGCCGCCCAGGTACGGTGCTGAGATGAGGCGGAAGTTTGGGGCGGTTGTTCGAGGTTTGGGGATCGTGAGGAAAGGTTGTTCTCAAGCCTTGAATCTGACCGTCACGCACTCGCCCAACCGGAAACCCTATTAACCGAAAATATCCTATAAACCCTAAAAAGCCCTATAAACCTCGTAAACCCTAAAAGGCCTACATACCCTGAAAACCCTAACCCTGTAAACCCGAAAGCCTGATGCCACAGCCTCGGTGCTCTGGGACCAGGGCCGAATTCTGCAAGGATGTCTTCGAGTCGGATAGCGAGGCAAGGCGGGTTTAGGCGGATTAGGGTTTAGGGTTCCGGGAGCTCAGTTCCGGGTTCAACAGGGTTTAGGGATCACTTCCCCACTTGAAAACACCCGCTTGGGACCTTGGCGTCGGATAAAGAATGCTGTGACAGGAATGTCTGTCTCTGAAGGTCTTGCGGTCCTGCCAAGATAACACGCACAAGCATAAGCATAAGCATAAGCATATGCATAAGCATAAGCATAAGCATAAGCATAATCATAAGCAGCACCGCCGGGGGGGGGGGAGGGGGTTGAATTTGTTTTCGGGGTTAAGGTCTATAGGGATTGGTGCCTCTTTGGCGCTTTTGCTGTATTTCGGCTTCTGGAAAGAAGCGGGGTCTTTATGTGTGCAAAGCCGGGTTTTGTATCATTTTCCGGCAACCACAACCTCATGGAAACCAGTCTTAATTCCTGATGTACACGTGACATATTCACCCGCCTTCTTAAGAACAAGCAATGCTCTTTTTCAACTAAGACATCGGGAGCCGAATGCCGCAGGGTCCCGGCAACCAAACCCAAAATCCAAAGCAAAGAACACAAGGTTGAGGGTTTGGGGTTTAGGGCTTAGGGTTCGAAACAACGAAACAGTCATCAAATCTTGCAAAGGGGGCCGGCCTCAAGCGTTCCCGAAACCTGCGTGTTTGGTTCTTGTACCTGGTTATGTGTTGTCCTTGTTGGTGCTGTTTGAGATTGGATTGTTTAACTACCCCACACACGTAGCTGTAGGAGGAGATGTTCCTCCAGCCCAGAAAAATAGAGTTTAAGGTAGAGGCTACCTGCACCTTGCAAAGTTGATCTCAGTCATGGGCCCTTCTGGGTTTAGGGTTTACAAGGCTTACAGGGTTTAAGGCTTCTAGGGCTCAGTTCCCAGAGGCCCCCAGTATTTATTCCTGATTCGTTCGGGGTGCAAAGAAGAGTGCGTAAGTGAGATCAGCAAGGGTGGAAGCTCATGGCTCCCTTGGCAACTGAGTCCTAAGCCCCCCTAACCAGCTGCTCCAAACAACCAGACGGCCCAAACCGCCACAAGGAGCACCCCGAGCCCTCAGAATTTGCAGCCTCCAGGTGTTGAGCATTCTCGGAAAGAGCTCAGCACAGACGCAGGCAAGACGGTACTTGGTAGTTGGGAACGCAGGTCTATGCAGACACCCATGGTTTAGGGTGTAGGGGCCAAGGTGCCCCTTTTAGAGTCACTTTACTCTCAACATGCCTTGAAAAGCAGGGATCTTCACGCTTGTGGTTTGGGGCTCTTATGGTGTTCAGAGTTGGAGGTGCCTTCTACATGTTAGAAGCTACTTCAAAGCCTCACAAAAGTAATGTCCCATGAGTAATATGTCATGTCCCATCAGTACCGACTATTTTTAAGGCGAGGTAGTCCTACTAAACTGAGACTTGAGGTAGGTTTATGGTCCAGTTTATATTGCAGACAAGGAGTTTGTGGCCTAAACCCTAAACCCTCGAGCCGAAGGCTTCCATCCTCCTGTCCCTGCTTTGCGTCGCCTTCGTTGTGCACGTGGGCCAAATGTCCTTTGGCCGGTGAGGCTTGGGGTTCCGGCTTTTACAGGGTTTAGGTTTAGGGTGTAGGGTTGAGGGTTGAGGGTTTGGGGTTTAGGGTTTAGGGTGAAAAGGGGTTTGGGGGAGAGGCCGTGGAGCCACCTGGTCTTGGGTGTTTGCGGGGTCCATTGGGCCTCAGCCTATTGAGCAAAAACCTACAAACCCTAAACCCACAAAAAGCCTTCCCTCAACCCTAAGAGACCCTAAGCCCCAAACCCTAAGCCCTCGCCCGATAAGCCCAACCCCTTGGACCCTGCATCCCAAGACGGCACAACGGGGCGCTAAGGATTTGACGGCAGAAGCCTCCACCCCCGAAGCATCCAAAAAGCAAAAGCAGTCGCAACCCGAATGGCGCCCTTCTTGGTCCCCGAACCTTGAGTAATTAAGCGCTGCAGACCTTATACATTGGGATGTTCCCCCTTATACTAACAGTCCTTAGTATGGGCATAATGGGGGGGGGTACTATCATCCCGATTAAGGACTGTTAGTATAAGGGGGAACATCCCAGGTTCTTGACGCGGCACCTGGAGAACAAGGCAGATGCTTGTTCTGCCTTGGGCGTCCGGTGCTGATAGTTTCAAATCCGGTGGGGGGGGGGGGGGGGGGGCGGTAGGGTGTTGTTGTTTAGCCGTTTGCCTTGGGGGCGGGGGGCCTTAGAGGCTTCGGAGTGTAGGGAATTGTAGGAAGTCCGAGAAGTTTTAGGGCCCGAAGTGACCTCCTCCCCCCAAGGATGAGCCACAGATGATGGACTTGGCCATCGCCAGATGCTACACCGGGCTCAGGACCGACGCCACCTCTCCCTTGATGTAGTTACAAGAGTAATAATATTTATCATAGTAATAATGGTAATAATAGTGTCAATAGTCATAATAGTAATACTAGTGCTCGGAGGCCAGAGCAGGCTACCTGAGGCAAACCCTAACTCTTTGCCTGGGGTGTGGTTGCGAGGCTGCTAGGCAGGTGGCAGAATCCTCACCAAGCAGGCTGGTCTGCTAGGCAGGTGCCGCCAAATCTTCGCAGAAGAGGGTCGAGGTGCTGGCATCGGTTCAGGTAGGAATTGCAAAATGAAACCCTGAACCCTACGTCCCGAAACGCCGAAGCCCCTCAGATAACAAGCCCCGGGCCTCCCCTTCATCCAGTCCCACTTCATCTTGGGTACCTGGACTCCCTCTGTGGTTTGTCTGGGATCAAATGCCATCCTCCCCCCATGATTTAGGGGGAAACTCGGGGTACGTTTCCAAGCGCTCCAATCCTGGTAATTGTGAATGGAACCCTCCAGGCGTGCACCCCCCATGGGCCCTGATGTAGAGCAACCTCCGCATGTGAGGAGCATCCTGGCTGTCTTAGTGCGCTTGTTGGCTGCTGGCTTGCTCCTGGACGCCCTGGTGGTGGCTGGACCCAGCCCCTGAACCCCTGAAATCCCAAGAGGTCCACCGTGTTGAATGCGCTTGAATGTGGGACCCTCTTTGATATTCCCCCCTCCCCCACTGAACAGTCGGAGCAAAAAAGTGGCCCTGTTTAAATGGTCCACCTGCCCCCTGACTTGCAAAATTAAATGAGACAAAAGGGTGGAATCAGAAAAAAGTGCCTGGGATGTTCACGGTTTCGGAACTGGAGGGTTGAGGGGTTGCCTCCAAAACTTCCCTCCTGAGGTCCTGCCCTAAACTCCTAGACCTAAGGCAGAAACCCAAAAACCCCAAGAGCAAGAGCCCCAAACGCCTAGCCCGAAGTTGAGGCAGGCCTAAGTCCCTTCAACCCGACCTTAAGAACACAAAGCCATCGGTGGGCAGGATGTCCTTGTAAATAAAGTCATCGGGTTGTTTAACAACTACATCCTCCTCCGCATGGTACAGTACTTCCTGTTTCCAAACACATGTTGTCGTAGCTCGGGCCCACTGCGTCGAAGGATCCTTCTAGCTCCAGCGGGTGGTTTAAATTAACTTAAAGATTGGTTGGCAAGAAGCTGGAACCTGTGACCCTTAAGTCAAATTCATCACCAATCTGCCCGATAGTCCTGCACCGTCTCGAGTCTAGAACTCTACAGGCTTCTATGTAGAAGTGTCCAAGAGCGGGCAAAGATGATCTAGCCTTCTTTCGGGCCCCTAAAAGCCTAAACACTACGAAGCCAAAAACGCTACAGGTGGGGCCTGTAACTTGGCGGCTCCACCGCGCCTTGGGCCTGGAGTTGTCTATGAATTTGGGTTCTGGGGCAGGGTTCCTTTAATCCTCTACAACAAAGTTTCTTCTTCAAGGTGTCAGCTATGGCGGATTTTTTTGGGGGATTCCCTTCTTGGAAGGAAGCTTACAGCAAGGGGCTCTTGTTGTAGAAGCCCAACTCTGGACAACACAGCTGTGTTTTGTGGGGAGGTTGAGGGTATAAACCTAACCGTCTGGCTTCTAAGGTTTACTTTATTGCCAGCTGTTTGTGATCTGCGATGGTTTTTTGACGTAGGTTTGGTTGAGGCTTTTGGTCTGGACGATTGCCGGGCATTGATGCAGCCAATTGTTTGAACTTCCAAACTCTGTAGGTCTGCTGGCTTTCCTCGAGAAGCGGAAAATATTGTTTTACCAATTCCCAATCGCCCTTGCCTACGCTCATCAGTCGAGTGACTGTAGTGCCATCTTCGAAAGCATCCGTTCTAGTAGAAATTTGTTGGGGATTTGTTATAATGAGTCATGGAGAGAGGACCCAGCGTCACGCTGAGGATACGCCACCGTGCAGGGGGGCACCGAACTGCGGCTTGGCTGAAGTTGGTTGGGGGGGGGGACGTAGGGCCTTGCAGGGTTAAAAAAGGTGTTGATCAGGGCTTCTGGGGGTCTTTTTGGGGGCGTTTAGGGATTTTGAGTTTTTGGGGGAGATGTGACTGTTGGTGTTGGGATGGTCGTTGGTGTATAGGGTTGAGGGTCTGTAGGTACTGGGCTCGCAGGTTTACGTTGAGGTTATTGGGGGGTTTTGATAGGGGCCTTGGTGAGACAGATGATTGATGGGACAGATGGGGTTCCAAGTTCATGCAGGGTGACCCGAACCACCTCGAGAGTGCAGTGTCCTCCTGGCATGCAGGACAAAATGGCGTCAAAGCCGGTCCTGCGCACATCAACCAAGCCCCTCTCCCCTGCCAGGATGGGCTACTAAGGCCTTTTAATTCCCCAGAATCAACCCTATAAAGGGCCCTTTAAAGGGGTTACCGGCATTATGATAGCCCGTCCTGGTGCGATTCACGTGACCGGGGTACCGCTCGTGCGCAACAGTCAGGAGATATTGCCAATGCGCGGCCTTCTTCGAGCAAAGGCGAAGCGAGCATTGTGGGGAGGCTCTCTGGTGGATCTGAAGAAGTTGATTATTGTTTTTTGGCGACGTGGGAGTGGCACCTTGAATTTGTGGCTGATATGATAAAGACCTTTTGGCCCTAAACTCACGCTTGGGCTTAGGTTTAATTCGTGATTTTCTTGACCTTGGAGAGCTATAGAAAATCTGAAGATTTGTCATGTAGCATGGGTTCTGTGCAGATTCCGTCCATGCCAGACTTGGCCACCCGTAACCTCACCAAGTTTTTTGCACTACGCGAGGCCTGGGGCTGTTGCTGCAAACTTCTCCGAACCTTCTCGGGCAAAGAACTGCTGCAAGTGGCAAGAGACATTCAGAGGTCGCCACGGCGCCCTACAACAACACGCGCTGGCACGAGTACTGGGCGGCTCAGTTCAGTTATTTCATGGCAGCCTTCGGGCCGCTAAACAGCTGGGCCCTAAGCCTCCTATGAATGCTACGCTGCTAAGACGTGCTACTGTCGTAGTGTGGAGGTTCCGGGCCCTTGCCGTGCTTGCCTGGGTGCGAGCGCGAATGTCGGAATCCTCTGACCCGGCCTTGTGGGCACCCTTTGTAAGGTCTCCTTGAACTGCTCGGCGCTAAAGGCCGAGGCGACGTCTGCGGAGGCCAGCGTTCGAATCATGATACGGTTTAGGAGTTTTAGGGTTGGTGTCGGCTCGGCAGGGAGGGTTTAAACCTCTGGAAAACAAGGAGAGGGGGGGGGGGCGAGAGAGGGGAGGGGAGGTTACAATTGGCTTTGAAGCAGCCAAAGGTTTGAAAACAGAATGCGCCGCAGGTTGTTCATCGGAATCATTGGCGGCTTCTGTTGCCACTCACAGGCTTGACGGTGGACCCACTCGAAAGGTCGAGCTTAGAATTCCCTTAGTGCAGTTGCCACGCATCGCCCCGCCCTGAACCGACAATGCGAAAGCTCGCAGCTCCATGCCCAAATCACGAGCTATTCAACTCCCCACCGTTTCTCAAGTCCAGTCTTATAATGTCTTACTTCATGCATCCTTCTGGGCATATCCTTTCTTGATTCTTGTTCCTCTGGCGAGCGCTCGCCATGGCCACCGTGACTTGCACCGAGACGGAGACTTGCACCGAGACGGAGACTTGCTCCGACCTGGGCTCCCAGCCTTGTGCGAAAGATCTCCCTTCCTCCTCCGAAGTGAAAGAGCCTCTGGATGACCAGGAGAGGATGCCTCCGACTGCCTCCTTGGTTCTGATCCACTACTTCCTGCTGCTTGGGACCATCAATGTAGTGATCACCATCCCGACGGCAAACGACTATGCTGAACGGTTGGGTGCCGGTCGGCTGTTCGCTGGACTGATGCTTGGCATACTTCCCATCCTGAGCATTGCCGGGAACCTCTTCAACCAGTGGCTCCTCGCTTTCTTGCCATTAAAGCGCATCTGGATTCTTTCCGCGCTCTTCACGGTGCTGGGTTCGGTCCTCTATGCTCTCGCCGGCCTGATGGGATTCAAGTGGACACTTCTCATCGCCAGAGGCCTCATGGGATTCTTCGGGGCTTTCAGTCTACCCGGCATCTATGTCTCCCACACTGTGGGCATGAAGAGGCGGAGTGAGATCCTTTTCTACATCTCCGCTTGCCTCACCTTGGGCTGCGCTGTAGGGCCTGCTTTGGCCGCGATGTTGGAGGTCTCCGTGAAGTTCATCAAAATCCACAACTTGGTTCTGGATTCCGACACGATCCCTGGCTGGTTCATGGCTATCCTGTACCTCCTCTTCACCGCGAAGCTGGTGCTCTGCTTCAAGGACCTCCCCAAAAGTGGCGGTTTGGGCAAGGGTCGCACCCTCCACGAGAGCCCAGGAAGCCGCAAGCCTGCGCAGTTCCGGCTGAGCCTCGGGAAGTTGGCGGCGGCCTGTGCCTGCTTCTGGCAGCTCTTCGTGTCGAGCACCGTGACGACGGGGGTGGAGGTCTTCACCATCAAGTTTGCCCGGGAGACGCTGGGCTGGTCCACCGCCAGCGCGGCCTGGTTCGTGGCCTTGATCATGCTGATCTCCGGAGTCATGAACCTGAGCCTTGGCAAAATGATTCGGGTGATGGCCTGCGGCGATGTGACAGGGCTGCTCATGGGACAGCTTCTCGCCTGCTTCTCCTGCATGTTCTTGTTCAAGTTTGAGCTGGACTCGCCAACTTTGCAGGTCACACTGCTCACCACGGGCCTGGTTTCGGTCCTCGTGACTCAGGGCCTTACAAGAGCATTGTCCTTGAGCATCTGCTCGAAGATCGTGCCCGCGGAAATGGTGAACGGCATCATGACCCATGCTGCGATTTTCATGTGCCTTGGTCGGGGAGGTGGCTCGATCGTGTGCTCCGTTTTGGACCTGGACGTCTTTGCCCCACTCTTGCTTGGCCTCTTCTCGGTGACCCTCGCGATGTGCGTTGCGACGCGGAAGCGCATGAAGCCAGATCTTAAAGCAAGCTGAGTGTGCCAATGTGACCAGTCAGCCTCGTACAGCACGTGACTTGGGGAAGAAGTACAGATCTGCAAGGTCACAAAGACCTTGTGAACCCCAAGGCTCGATATCCCATTCCGTATAGCTGCAGCATGCTCTTTGCCAATGGACTGCTGTAGAAAGTTGCTGGCTGCCGCGGGCACCATGAGCTGCGAAGAGCGAGTGGGTCTTTGAGGGTTAGTTAGGCGCATCGAAACCCAACAAAACCCAAGTGTGTGCATATATGCCAGCATTGTTAGTTGAGGGACCCCGGAACAGCAAGAATACCTACTTGATCACAACAGTCTCATTTTTCGAGACAGCCGCGCGACAGTCGAACCCTTGGCTGCGGAGGCTGTGGCGGAGGACTGGTTCCTGCACCGCCCCCTGTCGCACCCTGCAAAAATCAGTTCAGAGAGCGACATAGCTAGCAGCTTACACTGTCGCTCAAAACTAGCTATACGGCACTCTGCAGTTATGCTCATGGGGTTTCTTGAAAGAGTAGATGCAGGAATCCGATTTCGCCAGACTTCGGTCGCCTGGGAATGGTTGGGTGGGGTTCGGCGCAGGTTCGGATTGGATTGTTGAAAGCTTATCTCGTCCATGCAGCGCTTCGGGTGGCGACGTTGAAGGCAAACCTTCTTGCCGGTGCTTCTCATTGTGGTTGTGCTGGCGCTACTTGCCAGTATACTGGTGCTGCCCATCTTCCCGGACCTCTTTGCAGCTGTGTTGCAAAAAAACCTTGCTCTTTCGGCCTGACTAACTCTTGGCCCTGGCAACTGGCACCACGCGATGGCAGTGCCTTGTAACCATCGTGTTCTGCGCATGGTTTCAACACGTACTAGTAGCAGCGCCAAGCCCACCGTGGCAAGGTCAGCACCTTCAACGTGATGGTCCCTTTTCTGCTCTTCGGCTCCACCTTCTTCCTGGTGCCTCACGGCCTCACGGATTTCAGGGGGTGGAAGAGAACCTTCAAGCCCAGCGTCGTGTTGCTCGAAACGCCTCTTTGCTTTGGCAGCTGCGCAGTGCCATGCCGTCATCAGTAGATAAACTGCGGCCAGTTCGGTCCTCAGCCTGCGCATAAGGCATCTTTTCTTGGAACAAGTCCTCTGGAAGCTCCCAGACCATTAGCCCAATAGCGCCAAAGAGCTGACTAGTGGCTGGAACCGCAGCATGGGTTCAGAGGGTGCACCTGGAGTCTCACCCCTGGCGAGGCTCCGGATTGTACATGCCTCACTTGGCTTGTCGAAGATGTGATAGAGTCTGAGTCGCAGGTGCAGTTTCGTGTCCTTGGCGACATCACCAACGAGCGCTATGCAGGCACACCGCTTGACGACAACATATTTTCCACCCCTGCCTGTTGTTCACGTCTCTTCAGTGCCCCCCAAGCCTGCACCACCCCGCGCCCCTAATCATGAAAGGGGCTGTCTGACCCTCGGACTTCATGCGCAACGGGTGCCCATGGGAAAGCAGAGGTGGTCCTTGAACTTTACGAATAATCGAAAGGCTTTCTGTGGGTCTTTCGAACCACTGAGGCTACGAGCTGGACGAGCTGACGTGGAAGAGGAAGCGGCTGCAGAGCCGACTTAGGTCACTTGAGGTCCGATGTTATAGGCGCTGTCACCATAGCCGAACACAGCATCCCGTCTGAAACTTCAGGACAACGCTGCTTTGAACTCTCTCCAAGCGCATCCGAAGTTACCCAGGGGGAAACGACCTAACAAACTCTCGGCTCAGATGCTGCGGGTTTGGCTTGCAGGGCCACAGGCGGTAGAATAGTTCATGAACGGCAAACTTCACGTGCAGGATCCTCATGACTGCGCTTGCCATGACCTTGCTCGGCTTGTGCTTTTCTCGATTCCTTCGTACCTTCATGCGCCTTGGCACTGATTAAGCTTTCTCTAACCCTAAGAGCCCTAGGGCCCGCGCTAAACCCTAAACCCGAGACCCTATGCGGGAGCGAACAAAAACAAAAACCAGGTAATTTTGAGGTTCATTCGGTTTCGGGCTTGGAGGATCTTAGAGGACATTCGAGCATAGTCGCGAGTCGCCTACAATCCTGCTTCCCTAAAATCCTGCCCTGTTAGCCGTTGGCCAGGATTTGCCTGCATTACCCTAACCCCTAAACCCTGGAGCCTCCCTGATTCAAGGCACCGCTACTACAGCCGATGTTTGCACTTGGCTTTCTACGCTGGCGGCAAGAACTGTAGCTGGTCGGCCGTTCGCAAGAACCCCTACTGCCCGGTTCTGCTCCTCAACGCCACTGTCAACGAAGCCGAAGCTGCAGACCGGGGGGTGGGGGGGGGGTTGGGGGTTGGACCCTAAACCCTAAATCCTAAACCCTAAAGCCTTATAGGCGGAAGCTTCGCATCACCAGACGGTGCAGCCCAAGTCTTCATCAGTGCTTGAGAGAGGTTACTTTGGGACTCTGAGGAGTCCGAAGCTTTTCAGGCAGAGTTCGCGCGGGACTTCCTAAAACCGCCTTGAGTCCATACCTGATACGTGGCATACCTGGTTGATTGCTCATTTCTGGAAGGCCTTCGCCAGATTTCCCTGATACGGTCTCAGTCTGAGGACTACCTGCGCCTCGCCGACAAGGAGCCGTCCAGTGACGCCTGGCTTGCACGCGGTCTACATCTAATGTATGGGTGTCTAATGCCAGTAGACCGATGTAGACCGTATGAAGTGCATAAGTTAACCGTTCTCCCGGGCCATAATCGCAGTGCTTCCTGGCGCACTCACCATATATGGTCATGCGCTCAGGGGTCTCCTCAACCCCATGGTCCAGGATTATGGGGTGGCTTCCTCCCTCTGTGGTGTGGGGGTGTGTCCCCCTCCCTCCCTTGGTGTGGGGGCGTTCGGTCAGGCAGTAGGGGTACCGGTGCTGTTTATTGTCGTAGGTAGGTAGGGCTCACCATTTCGCGCTCGTCACGAGAAGCAGCAAGTCCAGGCTGGATGGGATCTGGGCGGGTTGAAGCCCCTTGCAAAAAAAGGGGTGTAGGGTGGTGCCTGTGCTATTCTATGCTGAGATCGGATGACTTTTACAGTGCGAGACCCAACCTCGAATTTTGGCATAGAATGAGCTGTGAGCTGCGGCAACAGTAGCCTGATGCAGCGCATAGGGAACCTCGAAGAGGAAAGACGTTACAGTAGGGAACTTCGAAGAAGAAAGCCATTTGAAGTCGTTTGTTCTGTGAAAGGCCCCAAGATGCACAAAATTTGCAACTTCGAAATGGAAAGGCGTTTGAATTCGTACACGTGCGATTCTGCAGTTTTGCAGCCCCTGCAGCCTTGTTACTGCTAGTTTGCTTGATGACTCTGGGGTTTGAGGAGGATCTGGACGTTCTGAACTTGGTCTTGAGTTGGGCAAGCTGCAGTGTGAGAGCGTACTCTAAATTAGAGGCCCTGTGGTGCTTCACTATAGACGTATGGAAACTAAACCCTCACACCCTGATCCCAAACCAAGAAGCCCAGGACATCACCTTCAGTCAGCTGCACACCGGCGGCGAGCGCGTGGGCTACTTCTGGGCCTTCGGCGCCAGGAAACGGTCCTGGGAAAGAATGTACTTAAGGGGGCTTTTGTAGGACTGATGGCTCCCAGCGTTCAGGATATGTATCTAGCTGTTATATACATATGTATATATATATATATATTTGTGTATGTGTAGGTGTGTGTATATGTTTAAGTTGTCATACTCATAAGATAAGACTAACATGATAGCTTTTGATGCGGAAAGAAGTTAACAACGCGAGAACTACATGAATGAAATAACTCAATAATATATATATATATACATATGTGTATATATGTATATATACATGCATGCATCTAACATTAGATATTAGAGATACAGGGTTCGGCAGTTTTCTGGAACTCTCTTGGGCAGACCGGGGCCGGAGTCTGTGGTTCTGGGGCTTGCGTTGGGAGATCGACCACGAAAGCCACTCTCCCTCAAGAATCCTATACCGCGACGGGCGCATAGAGATCAGCCCCACACTTTCGCAAGGCCCCTGGCAAGAACCGCAGCACTCAGCGGGGGTGCCATCGATGGTTTCATCATGGGCCGCTTTGTGCGAGTCTTTTGAGGGGGCGGGGAAGGTGGACTTCAACTGAAGGTGTTCGGAGTTTGCTCCTGGCATCTTGAGTTCAGGGTTAAGGGCGTCCTTTTGGTGTTCCTGTTGGTTTTGGGCCGGGTGGGAGAGTTTCAAAGGGGTTTACAACGCCGTACCTAAGAGTCAACTGAGGCTCGTCGCCGTTTGTGGCTGGTGGTGTGCCAAATGTTTAGGAACGTGAAGCTTTATACCCCGCAGTTGAATCTGGAGCTTCTTCCCCGGTCTCAGAACGGAGAATCTAGTTGCGGATGCCTGTTCTGATGGATACATGCCGGTGATCTTGGCCAATGTGCTGAGGGGGGAGGGGTACTTCAACAACCAATCTGACCTCATACTGCTCTGCTTCAGCCGGGCTTATCACTTAGCCACCCGAACTGAGGTAAGTACGACACGGTGAGTCTCAGATTCTGGTTGGAGTTCCTGGGAGTCTACATGGGCGACTTCGTGTACATTGCTCGCAACTCAGGACCAGATGTAGAGAGCTGCCATACCGCACCACCCGAAGCGCACTATCCTGAGCCGTAAGCCCCCATTGTGTGGGATGACGCCAGACACCTTGAACCCATCTGCGTGGTGCCGTGGCACCTTTCAGAGTTGAGCTCCAGCCCTAGTCTGAAGCATCAGAACTTAGTGGCTGGCCTGCGACTCAGTGCCAGATCTCATGGCCATCCATAGGAGCTCATGCCCTTTGTGGAAGGAGCCGGGGCGAGGACGATGGCCTGGCTGGATCGGCTTCCCAGCCTCATCTGCCTGGAGCTGATTTACGGGCTTCTCGGGGCATACATCCTGGAGTTTTCCCAAGGGCCTTCGGACATTTCTGATGCGAAACACCGGCTGAAACCCCCAACGAGTTGCTTCTTGCACCCTGACCTGGCCTCCCAGGCTGCTGCTGGTGGCTGTGGTCTTGTCCATGCACCCGACACACAACCACTGCTCCGTGGCCGTCGGCTTGTGTGCCCTGGCGGAGTGTTTGGAGCGCACGATAAAGATTCCCGAAGCCCAGCCAAGCTATCCTGGAACCTTCCCAAATTAGGGGGTACCTTCTTGGGGTCCCATATCATAAGGGAATCCTACTGTTTGGGTCGAAATTCGGGGTCCCGTATTTTCGTAAACCCCCTCCTAAGCTCCCAACGCGATCGTTGGCTGGACATCCCATGCAAGCCGCCCTCCAATCTCATGAACTAGCTTGCTGGAAAGCCCGTTGAAAGCGCCTGACCAAAGCCCCGAGGCAAATGGTCAGCACTTTTCGCCACCGCGGTGGCGGGACTTTCATTTTTCAGCTTCCTCCCCTGCCTAGGCTGGGCTTTTTTGTCACGCGCGCGCGTCGGTTCGTTGATGAATTTCAGGACGGTTTCGTTTGCTTTTCAGTCTTTGCAAGCGAGGCTCGATTGGGTAGATATGGGGACTCTGGCAGAATCCAAAGTACAGTATGTTCAGGGAAATTGCAAGTGAGATGGAACAGCAACATCTGAATTAGGACAGCTGTGTCCTCTTGCGCCAGGATAGGGTTGTACTTGCGGACCATCGCTTTCCGTGATCTTGCATTGCTAGAGTTCGGGATCTCAGGCAGTATTGCAGAGTCAAATAAACGGGTTTGGGTGAATGCAGTATAGTTCAATTTGGGCACGTGAAACAAAGGGCCCGCACTACTGTATCCCATTGGCTTGATCAACCCCCCACGTGCTTCGAAGTTCTTCGTCAGGCTGCTTGCAGCATTCCCCCCTGCTTCGGACGCTTCAGCAGGCAACACGCCCCTTTGTTCCGGTTAAAAGCTTTCCTCGCCTTTCACGGCTTCATGCAGGGATAGGGCTTGGATCAGCCCGGAGCCTAGAAGGCCCTTAAAGACTGCGGCAAGGGAAGTTTGGGCGCGGGCTGGCTATGAGCTTCTGGGCACAAAATCCTGAGAGTCGAAACACCCGAAACGCCAAATCCATCGCCCCTGAAGCCTTTATGAAGCGATCCGGCCTGGAGCTTTAGGGTTCTTAAGGGAGCGGGGTTCATGGGGGGGTGGGGGGGCAACCAAAGAGACAAGCTTAAGGAGCCTTAATCGTGGCGAGTATTAGGGGTCTTTGCGTTACATACCCCCGCCGTGAACCCCCCTCCCTTAAACCCTAAACCCTAAACCCTAAACCCTAAACAACTTGAGGCTTCTACTACCAGTCGCCCCAGCCACCTGGCATGGTCTACATCAGCGACGGCGGCGTCTTGGAAAACACCGGAGTGCCCCGGTCGTGAGCCCCATGGAAGTTTTCGGGGGGGTGTTGAGGATCGAAAAAAAGGCATTTGCATAGAGGGCTAAAAAACCCTTGAAAGCCCTCTGAAAGCCCTGAGCCTTTTGCAGTTAAGTGTGTTTTGTTTGTGTTTGGAATCTTTCGCTGACGCGCTTTGCTTAGGGCCTGCTCCAGGGTCCATTGATATTATTATTACTATTATTATTATTCTTCTTTTTATCATTATTTATTTTATTTTTTCTTTTTAACATTTATATCATTATTATTATTATGTTTTTTTTGGGGGGCGGGGTGCTTGCAGGGTCGACCTCGTCGGCTTCCACGGGCGGTTCTGATTTCAGAGCCTTTAATGTCTATAGGTCCCGGACGGTCCCTGTATAGGGCTTAGAGGGTTTAGGGTTTAGGGGCTTCTTCTGTCTTAGGTGCTTTCGCTGCTCCGGCGACGCCAGCGTCGGATTCTGGCTGTGTACGCTGGCGAGGAGGTGGCGACGTGCATGGGGGGGGGGGGGGGCAGCGTCTTGAGCTTTCGAAGCAGAGCAGGAGTTCCATGGGGAGAAGGGGGATCTCTACAAAGGATGTGGGTTGGTTGGCCAAGCAGATCTCAGCAAGCAGCAGGATGAAGGCTTGCGTTTTCGGATGTTTTCTGAGGGTGGACCTATAATGACTTTGGATGGTCAGGCAGTCTAAGGCGGATACCCGATAAGAAGCACCGACGTACAGTTGCTGACATCCGTTCTGTGGCGTGCCCGAGGTCGAATCCACTATACCTGCTGCCTATGGTGACCCTTTTCATTCTTATTACCATTCTGATTAATCTTGTTATTATTATCATTGTTATTTGAGTGTTTCTCATGATCTGAATAACTGAACCACCAACATGCATCCGCAACCGCGCAAGGGTCCGGGCAAGGAGCCTTGCCTGCAAGGCGCTGTGCAAGTCTAGCATCATACGCAGAATATTCCTATAGCAACACTCACAAGAGCATCCAGTATCTTAGATGTTAGAATCGCAGCGTTTTGAAATCGCCGCGTTTGGGGAAAGCCCGAATCGCGCGATTTGAATGGGTCCCTCGACTCCGGTTTAAGGTTGAGGGTTGAGGGTTTAGGGTTTAGAGTTTAGGATTGAGGGCTGAGGGTCGAGGGTGGAGGGTTGAGGGTTGAGGGTTGAGGGTTATTTGGTGCTCGACCCCCCCCACCCTTCAGAAGGACCAGGTTCTAAACACTTATCCTAAGTCTTAAACCCATAAACCTTGAAGGGAAAACATCAGAAATGATTTTTGCCAGGGCCTGCAAAAATCATTTCGTGCTCCCCCCCCCCACCCCCACATCAGAAGGACCAGATTCGGTACAAACCAAAAAACATACAGTGCTCTCGGAAGTAAGTCGTTGAACATGGTACTTTTCTGGATAAAATCCTCAACCTGACTGTTCATACATTGAAAAGCCTAGCTTAGAGCCTAGATTCTCAAGGCTAAACTCTCAATCCTAGCCCCTAAACCCAAAACCGTGCAAAAAACACCCAGCTCGAACATAAATGATACTGCCACAACGAAGACACAAGTGCCATGGATGGAGCCCTGTAAAACGTAAAGCCGACACTCCTACATGGTCGTGAAACTCAAAAGAAACCAAATCCTGCATCTCAACGGGCTCAGCTTCGGCAGGCCTGAAGACTGTCACACATCGCGGAAGACAGAAACCTGGAATCTGAATTGTGCTTGGATCGCTTCAAATCGCCAACAACTCGCTGCAAATCGTAGGGCAACTTGGAAGTCAAAAGGACCATGCCCACAAGTTTGCTAAGAAACCCTGATCTTAAGGCCTGTTAGCCCTAATCCCAAAAACCTTGAAGGAAAAACATTAAAAATGATTTTCGCCAGGGCCTGCAAAAATCATTTCGTGCTCAACCCCCCCCCCACCCCACCCCCACATCAGAAGGACCAGGTTCGGTACAAACCAAAAAAACACACAGTGCTCTCGGAAGTAAGTCGTTGAACATGGTACTTTTCTAGATAAAAATCCTCAACCTGATTGTTTCAAACATTGAAAAGCCTAGTTTGGGTTGGGCGAGAGGGTGTTTAGCTTAAGCCCTAAACTCTAAACTCTTACTCAAAGATACATGAAAGAAAATCTGTACTTCGCTACGTGCGAGTTTCGAGACCAATGAGGGCCTTCGAATGGCTCCGTAAACTGAATTTCCAAACAACTGAAGGCTTTCCAGCACCTCTCTGAATCTAAGTTTCCGGTTATTCAAGGCTTCCTAAAAGCGCCCCTGAACTTGAACTTCTGAAATAGTGACAAAGTCCTTGGGCCCAAGCTCGCTAAATGATTTTTCCCAAGCCCGCAAAAATCATCGAACCCACTTCTCACGAGTGCTGCTTGAAAGCAGCACAAGCTGCGATTTGGCATTGGAAACCCGAATCGCGCGATTTGCGTTTCCAACGGTTGAATACGACCAAATAAGAAGCGATTTGGGCCTGCGTGTTCAAATCGCAGCGATTTGATTCCGCGATTTCATCTTCTAAGTCCAGTATACTCATAGTCATACTATCATATCCCCTGAAATTTCTGAATTCTGATTCTGGTTTCTGGGTTTGGCGGGCAGGGTTCAGGCATTTCTGCGCAAAGGGCTTCAAGGTGAGAGGCTGTGGGACTGGTCGCCAGTTCAGGGCTCCACGGGTTTCGGGTCGAATCTAGAATGTGAAAGCTCGACAGGGCGGGCAGCTCGCGGAAGAGATGTGCAGGTTGCACAGAGAGGTTGAAACTCCAAGCTTCTGCGATGTTCCTTGTGAGTTGTGGGTCCCCTCAGCGCCAAGCCTCACGATCTAAGGAGTTCCATTGCATCAAGAAGCTCCTGAAGTGGATGCACCAGGATTTCCGGGTTCAGTGGATGGCACCAAGCATAGCAAAGCATGGCTGAAGCCCATGCAAAAGGGCGCACGGTTTAGAATGGGAGGGTACGCCCCCCGCATGGTTGGGTTGGGAGCCCCATGACCTTGCACTAGCCCGTGTAGGCCACGCAGTTTCCATAGGTTCATGGATGCCTCACTAAGCAGAAACCATGCTGGCCGGTTTTTTTGCTCGGTGCAGTGGCAGAGACAGCCTCCAGTCCCCTGGAAGATCCGCGCCCCAGCCAAAAAATCCCATGAACCCAAAACAGCCCCCTCGACCCTGACGTGTGTTTTTGAGAGCCCTGAAACTGAAGCCCCAACCCTTCAGCCAAGCAGCCCAAGCCTCCCCGGCCGGCGGCACTGAATCCTTGAACGCGCTCAAGCGCCCTAACTAGACCTAGGAACCCCCGGTAGAGCTCAACCCTTAACCCCTGAACCAGAAAACCCTTAACCCCTTAACCAGAAAACCCTAAACCCTAAACCCGGGCGGCCAAAAACAAACAACACAACGACAACCCTTAACTTAACCCTCAACCCTTGGACATGTTTCCCTTACACAAACAGTCCTTAATAAGGAATATAATAGGAAGTTGTTATAATCCCTATTCAAGACTCTTAGCATAGTGGGGTACTGAATAGGGATTGTATATCAAAGGGGGTTACTATCATCTCTTTGAATTCCTGTTAGTTTAAGTGGGAACATCCCATCTGAACCCTTAAACCCCAGCCATGCCGCGGTGGGGCCCGCGCAGCCTGCGCGCCGCGACCGAAGCCCAGCCGGCCCCCACGCCACGTGGAAGATCGTTGAAAACCCTGTTTTTGTGGAGTTTTATTTGGGGGTTAGGGTTGATAAGGGTTGGGCTTTAGGGGTTAGGGGATGTTTAGGGTTTAGGGTTTAGGTTTGTGTTTGGGACTTTGGCCGCCAGGAGGTTTTTCAGGACGTGGACATTTGAAATCCCCACATCCTGAATATCCCTGAGCCCTCTACCGGCAACATCAAATCCCCAGCCCCCTTGCACCCGCGGGTCGCCCAATTTGTATGTTTTTTCGTCTACCTGCGGGAGGCTTCCTTCCCCTCAAAGGGGATCATGATGTCTGAGTCGAGGCTTGAGCCCCAGGAGACCTCGGGCTTGAAGGCGGGCTACCCAACACCGCCTGTATCCTCCGGCCGAGGTGCGGGGCTCGGAAGCACAAGAGTCGAAAAAAAAACCCTTGAAACGTAAACTCAAGGCCCTCCTGCAATGCCCCTGAAGGCAAAAGTCCTCATCTGCCAGGTGCGCTGGGCGAAAGATCTTAGGCCATGGCCCGTTCCTGAACCCTACCACCCGGAACCCTTCCACCCTCAACTTGGCGTTTCAGGGTCTTGGCCTTCCTTGAAGTCCTAAGTCCCAAGCCTTTGATAGAAATCATCGCGATCCCGTCAAGGAACAGCCCGTAAATTCGCCACACCCATGGTGGGCCCAATAAGCGCCCCTTTCATCATAGGGTGGCTTGAGGGTTCGTCAGAGGACCCTTTGAATCTTGCTCCCAGCAGGGCCCCTGTGGCCGGGGGTTTGGGCCTCCGCGGGCAGCACTGGGCGGCAGGGGCAGAGCTTCGGCGAAGCCTTTTTCAGCCCTACCTGCACCCCCCCCCAAGTGCCTTTGAATAAAGGGGGCTTACCCTACTACTACGGTTGAAGGGTACTTGGGGCTTTGGGGGGGGGTGCTGGCAGGCCCGAAAGCCTTTCAGAGTTTAAGCTGCGTGGCCATAGTCTCGTCCGGAACCCACAAAGCCTGCTGCAAAAGGAGACTTAGGTTGGCTGAAAAGGTAGCTTTTCGAAGTTGCCTTCACTGAGAGCAACTCCCGAACCTCCGAACTTGGTAGCCCAGTGGTGCCCTTGAACCCTGTTTTGGTTCATGGCTCAGGATTGAGTTCGTGCCCCGGGGAGCCGCGGATGAGGTGCTCGTGCAGTACAGCCAGGACACACGCACACACTGCAGAAAGCATGGCAGTGCCACGATGCAGCCTTTTGTGTTCCTTGCCCCCCCACAAAAGCCACCCAAGGAAGGTGCAAAAAGTGAACCGCCATATGTGCAGGATCCGCAAGACTTCGCGTCCCTGGCTTGGACTCCACTGCACGACCTCCGGGTGGTGGATGCCAGCACGAGGCCAGGGAAAAGTTGTGAGCCTCGGACATTGAGAAGGGCATTCTGTGACTTGCGTTGGGCTCTCGGCTGGGATGAGTCGAAGGCCTTGTTCGACATCTTGCCAAAACGACCTCCCAAAGCTGCAACATCTTAAGCCCCAGCAAGATCCTGGGAACCGGCAAAGAGAGATCAAGAGACCAACACGGAACGTCAAAGGTTGAACAAACTCCAGGAAACCAACCCTAAACCCTTACCCTGACCACTGCCCCCACAAAAAAATGGGATTGAGGCCTTCAGGGTCGCGGCCCTTTGAATTATGAGCTTCGCCAGGCGAGCCACAGAGCGGCCGGATGTTCGCGCTTACAGGGAGGCAGGGCCAAAAATATTTCAATACTAAGATTACTAAGTGTATGTATGCAAGCATAAGCAAGCAAACAAACAAATACGCAATCACATGTATGTATGTAAGCATGCGTGCATGTATGTACGTACGTACGTACGTATGCATTCATAAAACTATATATATATATATATTTATTTATTTAATGAATAACTAAATAAATAAATAAATAAATAAGTAAATTATATATATATATATATGTATGTATATGTATATGTGTGTATATATGTATATATATATATATGTATTCGTTCAGTGTTTTGTACAGCGTGCATGTCTTTGTATTTGCAGATGTGGGGGAGAAGCCTTCGGGATGTGTAGGGCTGAGGAAGGAGGTTTAGGGCAGAGCCGTCGGTGCTGCCAAGATTGAGATCATGAAATTGATGCTGCTCAGTTGGTATCGGGGTATGTGGTGCGGACTCGCCCCAGCTGTGCAGGAGGGAAAAAGAAACCCTAAACCATGATCAGGCAGCTTCTGCGGTTTCGGTTGCACAAAAGGGTGGCGTCCCTGCCAGGCACTCAGAGCCATCAAGCTGAGAAGCGAGGGGCGGACTGCCGAGGAGATCGCCAAGGACAAGTTGGTGGCTTTATGGTTTAGGGTGTATAGGGTTGAGGGCCTAGGGTTTTAGGGGTTAGGGAGGGTAGTTACGTGGTGCCGTAATGGCTCCTTCCCTTCTCTAAAGGGTCATGCAACTACCCTTGGCGCTTCTACGGCTTGTAGCAGATGACAACTTGTAGGAGGCTAGTGTTTTTGGGGATGTTGTGGAGGGAGCACATGATTCTCCATCAGCTTTTAGACAGAGTTTATCGTCCCAGGGTTTGGAAGTACATATCTGCCAAGACCAGACCTTCAGGCCATGTGAGCGGTGCGATGTCTAAGGAACCCCCAAAAGTGAACATGCCACGAAGTCGGGGTTGTTGAGGTTGTGTTAAGGTGTGTTGCGGCCTTCAGATCAACGGCACCCTTCGATTCGAAGACCGAACTTCCCAGCCCGCCCTCACTCCCGAACCCAATGGCTGGTCCCTCAACGCACTGCGAATCAGGAGCTGGGAAGGACCCCGAGCTGGGTGAGGCAAAGGATGGAAGTAAGCCCTTCCGCGCTGCAGAAGCCCAAGGGCCTGGAATGGTGGGATGCGGAAGGGCCTCTCGGCATGTGTGTTGCCTGGGGGTGGATGAGGTATCGACTTTGTGACAGGAAGCAGTGTTCAAAAAGATAGCACTAAACTTGCCACAGAAAAGGCTTGGAGCGGCAATATTGGACCATTTTGAGGCCCATTGTTTCCGAAGGGATTACACAGTAGAGAGGTTTGACCTTCGAACCTAACTATTCATTTTGTTACCCTTAACCCCCTATAAGAAAGCCAGAAAAAAGTATTGTCACAGGGCCCCCAAACCTACCCCGGTAAACCCTAAATGCCCTGGCAAACCCTAGGGCAGCTTTCCGGTGTGGATCTGTCTTTCCGGTGCACAAATCGGGCCTTTCGTGCTGCAAAGGTTTTGCGACGTCACCTACCTCCGCGGATATGCGCGTCGAGCTGGGCTCTATGAGGAGACTTTAAGGTGTAGGTGGCCACGGGGGGTTTGGGGTTCAGGGTTTCAGGTTTAGGGGTTCAAGAAAAGGAGAGGTGTCTAGGCTGTGGTTCTGCCAGTCCAGAAAGGGTTTATAGGGTTCTAGGCAGACTAGAGCACCCGGCATGCTGCAAGGGGCCTGGATGCAAAACAGGGAGTCTGAATGCAAAACGGAGTTTGGGGCAGAGGGCTGCATCAATGGCGACTCCGCAGTGCCAGGTTTAGGCCTGTAAGCGCATGAGCATGGCCTCCTGTGACAGGTTCGGCCCTATTGAAGCCTGAACATTCCCAGCAGGAGATTGTCGCCGCAGTGGACTGGGAGCAAGACAAGGCCTCACAGAAGTCAATCGAATCAGTGCCTTTCCACGTCAACTGCTTACCTTTACGGTGGTGTTGCTTTCCGCCATTCTCATTCTCTATCGTCTCTGAGGTCTGGCGCGTCCGCAAGCAGGAAGGCAATGCAAACTGGCACCTGCGCACCGTCAAGGAATGCCCTGGGCTAGGCGGAGGCTTCTGCGGCCGAAGTCTCCAGAAGGCCTCACAAGGGTTTGTTCCTTCCGAGGCGTTCCCTGGTACCTGGTTGAGGGCTTCAAAATCCAGAGCGATCTTCACTCATGAGGACTATATATATATATATACTATGCATGTATTGAGTTTGGCAGGCATGGGTGTACATTGATCATTCAATGCTTCCCACATTCTGCCATTTTGGCTCAAGCAATCTGAGATTGGCAGTTGAGCCAAAACGGCAGATTGAGCTTTTGCTTTTTGGGGGGTGTTGCCCCCCCATGTATGGCTTACGATGCACTGGGGTTTCGTGCGCGCGCTGTGCACACTGAGAGGACCCTCATGGCTGCAGCAGCCTATATGGACTGGAGTGCGGAGTTGCGCCGCCTCCATGACCTTTGTCAAGGCAGGGACGTCTTGCATCATTGGTGCCAGGCCTGTGAGATTCAGCATTTCCCACCGCATTTTGACAGGATTCCTGAGTTGCCAGGAGTTCTGCCACCGGTCCGAGTCGCAGCCTGCACTGCTCAGGACTGTCGATGCGTACTTGTCCAGGCGGGTGTTGACCCGAGGCAGGTGTGGGCTCAAGTTAACGTTTCCCATGAGCTGCTTTCTGAGGATGAGGTGTTGGAGGACCATGAGCGCTTGGCCACAGCTGAGGACCTTCGGCGAGTGTGGCGCCTTTGGCAGCAGGGCAATAGGCGTTGGAGGGAGCCGGCCTACGAGCCTGTTGCCAGTCGTGACACAGAGATCTTGGATCCCGTGGCCAGAGCCAGCCGCACCTTGTGGATATGGCTCGGCAGTCTCGAGGCAGGAGTCCGACCCCTTTACCCACCGTGCACAGTGTGCGGCTGTCCAGCTATCTTGGTGTGCGGGGCCTGCCGGTGCCGTGTGTGCCAAGAGTGCAGTCGGACATGCCCCAACTGTCATGCTGAGTAGGCTGGCCCTGGCGCTCTTGGGGGCAGGTTGCTTGCTGCCGGCCTCCAGCCCAGTGCAGTCTATGGAGGAGCTTGCAGGCCAGGAGGCATTGGCAGGCGCCGGGCCGGAGGCGACGGCGGCCCGTGTGGCCCGGTGGAGGGCAAGGGTCGGAGCGCAGGCCGAGGAGGACTTTGCCTTCGCGTTCTACAGTTTTGACAATGCCCTGCAGGTGGCGGGGCCGGAGGTGGCAGCTTCTTGGCAGGAAGTACGCGGTCGTCTGCGTGATGCCTCGGGGTTGGCTCTGGTCCATGCTGCGGCTGAGGCTGGTGCTCAAGTGAGTTGCCCTTCACGCCCTCCATTGCCCAGACGTTATAAGCCCGTCCCGCCAGGAGGGCGGATCAAGCAGCAGGCTGCGGTGCCCAAGGCCAAGGACGGCATCACTGAGGCTATGATCCGAGAGCTCACGGACCTCCTGTTGGGCGCACACTGCCGCCGCCCGAAGGGGGAGTTGACCTCCGACAGGCAGCGGGAGTGGGAGGCCTCTGTCCATCGTCTGGTGGTGACCCAGGCGAGTCACACGGAGCCGGTGACTTTCCGCAATGTGATTCGTACATTGAGGGAGCTCTATCATTTCCAGGTCCTTCGAGGGCGTCTTCAAGGTTTGGAGGAGGTCGAGCCGGTCGATGTTGATACTTTTCTCCATGAGGGCACGAAGGCGCCAAGCAGGAGCTTGCAGGCGCTTAGGTGGGCCAACAAGAATGCAACATTGCAGTGGCTCATTCCGGAGCTGCGATTGGCCAAGCAGCCCCAGGCTGGTAAGAAGCAGCAGGCTTTAGGGGTGGAGCCCCCGCTTTTATCCCATCTGGAGGAGAGGATCGTGGCGCTTTGCAGGGCAGGCGACGCCAGGTGGACGGCGTTGCTGGGGCAATGGCTAGTAGGAGCGGGTGTTCTCCGGTACAAGCACCTACACCTGTCCACTGTGCTGAAAATCACTGCCTCTACGGTCCATTGCTACTGCACCCGTGGCAAGCAGGCCAAGCTGAGGTCCGGCTTTTACTGGTGCGTACCTGCACGCTTTTTGAACCAGTTTTCCTGGTCCACTGCGTGGAGGGAGTTGTATGCATCACTTCCCGCCGCTAGACGCAAGAACTGCGGATTGGCCTTTGACTTCCGAGGCAACAGCTGGTCCCGGCTGGAGTCGGTCCGAGCCACTCAGGACGAATTCCGTCGCGTGCTGGAGGAGCCCCAGCTGTTGACGAGCTATTCCTGGCGTCGCTTGGGGACGACTGTTGGGCTCTTGGCCAACTTCACAGTGCCCCAGCTCGCAGCCTTGGGGGACTGGGGTGATCGTATCGAGGACAGTCAGGCAAAGATGCCTATCCACTATGCAGGTTCCCGGTACGGCCTCAGTAGGTATTGCAAACACTATGCGTATGCAGTGGCGTCCCATCTGCGTGAGCATTTGTCCTGGGAGGCGATCCCACCGTGGGCAGTTGAGCTGGCGTGTGCGGCGGCCAAGGTGGAGGCCGAGACCGCCGTGGAAAGGGATAGTGTCGTTGTCTGGAGTTCTCCGTGCAGAGTAATGTATGACCAGAGGAGGCTCAAGCTGACTGCGTCGGCCAGGAATCGTCTCCGCCAAGCTTCCCGCGGTATGGCGTATCAGGCTATGGTGGCGATGCCGCCAGCTATCGCTGGAAAGCGCTGTGGTTCAGCCCTGCGAGATGGCACCCCGCTGTGTCCTCAGTTTAATATGGGCACCTGCGTCAATGGTGACACGTGCGCAGTGGTTCACAGGTGCTCCGCGGCACAGAAGTCTGGGCGAATCTGCGGGGGGTATCACTCAGCTTTGGAATGCCGTAATCCAAAGACGGAACGCGTCCAGATCCAGCTTGTGCCAGCAGCCAGGGCGAAGTCGGACACGGGGAAGGCGCTCCTGGAGTGGCGTTGGCTTTGGCTGTGGAGCCAAATGGGCCGGCAGACCCCCCAGGTGTAGAAGTGGCGGCGGCAGCAGCGCCTTCCATATTTGACCAGCTTGCAGGGCGCAGAGCCGTGCAACGACCTTCTGAGGTCTACAAGCTCAGGTCCGGCGGCAAGATCATCCTCTCTGGACTTCCACTCGAACAGTTCCGCCACCTTTACCCGGACACGGCCTTGCAGGTGTGCTGCCTCGGCCAAACGCCTGAGTCCCGCAAAGGTATTAGTTTGGCAGGCGCCCGCGTCTATGTTGTCGACTTGACCGAGCTGTCCGAGTCGGCCAAAAAGTGGACCGACCTGTTCACCGCCATTTGCCGGATGCTATGGGCCGGGGACGTGGTGGTGATCCATTGCATGGCTGGTCGGCATCGGGCTGCGTTGCTGACATGTTTGCAGTTGGCGCTGATGAGAGACCAAACTTTGGAGGCCGCAGAAGCGGATCTTCTTCGGCGCCGGTCTGTAGAGCTCAACCAGGTGCGCCGGTATGACGGTGGAAACTGGGCATGGGCCCAGCGTGCCTTGCAGAGCACTCGGTTGCCTGCGTGCTTCCCTGTGCCCAGTGGCTACACCGCATCGGACAGCTCAAACTTACATCTGCGCCTGCCCAATGGCATCACCTTGTGCAAGCATGCCCAGAGCCCGGAGAGGGCCGTGGGCCGGCTCCGCAATGCGCGCTTCACGGAGGACCGCAGGGAGGCAGTGGCGTGGGGACGCGCGCCCTGTGAGACCTGCTTTGCCCGTGCTTCTGCAAGGTGGTGGCCAGTCATCTGAATGCGGGAGTAGCCCCGGTTTTTCACCCAAGCCCACGCTGCGACCTTCCAATGTACATTTGGTCGCCTTGAAATCTAGGCTGTCGTCCACGTACTAGCATTTCCGACTTCCTTAAATCGTGGCCGTCTAGTTTCAGAGTCAGCAGCCAGCATTCGCATAAGGAAACAGTCGATCTGCATGTAAGGTGGGAGTTGTGCCCGCTCGGTGCTTCGCTGTTTGCAAGAGCATGCTGACCCTCCTTTCCTCCCCCCGACCCAAGATTAGACGGGAAAAACCTAATCTCGCAGCTTGGAGGCTGAGTCGGTGACCCTGGTGTTGCCCAGGGAGGTGCCGCTGTGTGACTTTGGCTGTTGAGCCCATGGCGTCTGTTGCCCTGGTGCCGAGGGCTGAACAAGACATCAAGGCCGTGTTGGGTGTCCTCGCCTTGAATTTTGACCTGAAGGACAAAGTTGTGGAGGAGCTGCTTAAGGTAGGAGTCCGCAACCTGGAGGAATTCCGGTTCTTATTCGAGGATGAGGCCAAGGTGGGTGCTTTCATAAGCAAGTTAAACTTGGGGGATGAGGCCACCATCCAGACAGCCAGGCTTCGAAGGGCTTGGACAGCTACGCGTGTCTACTTTTCGCAGGTGGAACAGGACAGGTCAAAAGTGGCCCTGGCTGACTTGGACTCTCTCCGTGAAGAATCCGAGCTTCGGGATGCGAAGCAGGCATTCTGGCGACGTTACCGCCTGAGGTTCCCGGCTGAAGTCCATCCTAGTGACGCAGTGGTTTCTAGGGTGTCACGTGAACTCTCCAAGCGAATGCTCTGCCTCTTCAATGTGTGGAAGGTGCGCTCCTTGCAGTTCCAGCTTGGCACCACCCAGAAGAGACGTAAGCTGAGCGACGGTTTGTTCACTGAGGAAGCTGAGACGGAGGAGGTCTACACCGCAGATTGCGAGACCTACCTCAGCAAGCTTCACACCCTCCTCATTGCGTACGCGCTGGCAGGGGTTCAGCCGATCCCAGGAGTGCCTGACGCATCTAAGGAGTTGACCTTGGGTGCCAACTCGACCGAGTTTGTCGAGGTCCCCTTTGACATCATGTTGCAGTACTATTTTCGGGCCAGGAAGGCCGCCTTGGCTTTGCCAATGGACAAGCGCTTGAGTTGGCTCCAGGCGCGGGATGCGGAGGAGCGCAGCGAGTGGGTCACCAAGTTTCGGGAGAGTACCCGACCGCTGGGCGCTATTGTCAAGGACCTCATGGAATCTAGAGATGCTGACTGGATTCCCCACCTGGTTCCGGAGGCCGTTAGGCCCGCGGCGGCTCCTGCTGCAGCGGCGGCTCCACCTGCGCCGGCCAAGGTCTTGACAGAGTCCAAGTTCATTGCGGGCCAGGTGGTCAATGGCAAGAAAACAGCCCGTCAGATGAAGGATGGCACTCGGCTTTGCGACGGCTTCAACAACGGAACTTGCTCCAACAAGTTCTGTGGCAATGGAGCCCACCGCTGCTCCGTGGTCTTGCGAGGGGAGCGAGTTTGTGGCTCCCCAGCACACCCTGCGGCCAGGTGCAAGGCAAAGGCTAAGCCATGAGGGGGCCCAGGAGAGGACCTGGGGGCACCCTCTCTTGGGGATATCGGCTGTAGCCTCTGCAGACGAACCTCCACTCATGGTGGACCTTATGTGCGGCCCGCGGATGCCGCTGGGCAAGGCGTTTCTCTATTGCGGGTGGCGTTGCCTGCCCGTTCACGACTTATCCCAGCTGGAACGGCAGGAGCTCCTGCGTGAACAGCTCCAGTCGGCTACTTTCGTGGCCGCGGCCCTTGACTGCAGCACGAAGACAAGGTCTCGGGAGATTCCACGTGACTTCGGCGATGGGCGGCCGTGTCCCCAGCCGTTGCGGAGTGATCGCTATCCTGAGGGTCTCCCCGACTTGCCTCTGCAGGACCAGCTCCGTGTCTCGAAGGACAACCTGGCCTGTAGCTTCAGCTTGACGGAGCTCGCGGCTCTTGCCTCCCGAGGAGGTGGGAGTGTCCGGGAGAATCCGGCTCGGAGTCTCCACTGCGAGTTGGCCCAGGAAAAGGAGATGATGTCCACCGGTGTGTGACCGACACCTTTTACTCTGCTTGTTGCTTTATGGGGGCCAGGTGCAAAGCGCAGAGGTTGCGGCATAATATCGAGGAGATCGATCAGTGGCCGTCCCTGACCTGTCACCACACACACATGAAAGGGGAGTGGGACCCCTATGTCCAAGGAGGCCAGCGTGTCTACCCCTCGTCTGAAGAGGCGGAGTACACTGCTTCCCTTGCGTTCGGGATCGCTGTGTCTGTCTCCTGATGAGCAGCTAGGCGGGGTTTCGGCAAGTTGCATGTCCCTCGTTTCCCTTTAGTTGAGGTGGCGGGCCGTCGGGAGCATTGGGTGGATATTGACCCGCGGGCCCTGCGAGAGTGGGCCATGGCCCCGACCGCTGTTTCCCTTGGGCTTCGCCCTCTTCATCCTGCGGAGCGGGCGCGCACGCCCGAGCGTGTCCGAGTGGCTGATGTGCTCTTGGAGGATAAGACCCTGCCTGCAGGAACAGTGTACGTTGGCTTAGGGCATCATAGCCACCGTCTCCCGGTCACCAAGTGGGCTTCTCCTTTCATCCCAGGCCACAATTGCGACCCAGCTGTCTGGCTTCCCTTGTACGTTGAGCACATTATGCAGCGCTTGGCGGCTGACTTGCACGAGCTATCCGGCTGCGTGCTGGCCTGCGACTGTGAGCTTAGTGCCACGTGCGAAGGGGATGTGCTGGCTGGCTTGGTCTTTGAGTATGGTGGCAACCCTGCTCGCGCCAAGAGAGCGAAACAGGGCATTGCTCCGCGAGGGGTCCGCCAGGTTCTGGCAGCTGCGGCTGCTCTCCCTCCGACCGTTGGGGCGGTGATCCCCTACATGGCGCAGGAATCCGTGGTCTCCGCATTTTGCTCTCTCTACCCGCCTCATTTCTTTGAAGGCTTTCAGTTTCCTATGATCGAGGACCTCATCAACCAGCCGCCTTTCACCAATTTTCCGCAGTGGCTTCGGCATCAGGGTCTTCGTTGGGATGGGCCACTGGTGCCCATGTTGGCTTCTCCGCAGCAGCGACTTCTTGCACGCGCCGCAGAAGGCCAACAGGCTGGGGCGTTGTCTGGGAAGCCTCCGTTGCACCCTTTCGGCCTCTCCTGCGATGAGCATTTTGCCCGCAGTCTCGCACGGGCCGATTGCCCATTGCCCACTGAGCAGCCCCCTCTCATGGATCTGGACCTACAGTTCGCAGCGGATGCCATGGCACGGGATTTTGGCCATCTTCGTAAGGTTCGGCAGCGGGCCTTGCGAGCGATTCGTGAACTAAAGGATCGATGGACGCGGGTGTCGACCCGGCTCCGTCACTTGCAGCCTCCGGCCATTCGGGCGGCTACCAGCAAGCGTGACTTGGGCTTGTTGGGCTTGCTCGTCATCCTTATGTCCTGGGGGGATGTGGCGATGCCCTGTGGTTTCATCGAAGGCTTGCCAGCAGTTGGGTTGGCGCCGCCCTATGGAATCTTTCCGCAGCAGCCTGCCCTGCCGCTCACATTGAATGACGTTTTCTTCGATTGTCAAGCGCACAATGCCGAGATCCTGTCGTCCCTCAAGCCAGGGCCGCACGATGAGTTCTTGCTCAGTCAATCTGTGGCCGACGCTGAAGCGGGGTTTTGTACAGCTCCCATGACATGGAACCAGCTCCAGAGGCACACGCAAGGGAAGCCTATCCGGTTGATCCCTCGTTGCGTCATTCGCCAGTCTTCAGGCAAACAGCGCATTATCGACAACGCGCACGCAGGTGGGCAGTCCGCCTTCAGTGCCGAGTCCAACAAGTTGGTGCTGTGCTCGGCTCTGCGCCCTGCACAACATGCCTCTCTGGCCCTCTCCGCGCTCGGTGTCGACCAAGCGCGAAAAGTGCTGCAGGAAGACGGCCTAGAGGGCGGCGGGGAGGACTGGCCTAACGCGTGCAGACATTGCCCGATGTCCGCAGATGAGTCGCGGGCGTGTGTGGTGTGCTGGCATCACCAGGAATGGGGGTGTCCGGCTTTTCAGCTATACACCGGGCTCCTCTTCGGCTTGTCCCTGGCGGTCACATCCTTCAACATCCTTCAACCGATACTCCCGATTTTGCGAGGCCTTGGGGCGGAGACTGCTTGTGCTGCTGGTTTCCATGTATTTCGACGATGCACACATCACAGACTGGGCGTCCAGCAAAGGCTCTGGACAGCAGGCCTTCCGCGAGCTCAATGCCCTTTTGGGGTCGCCGTTTGCGGATGATAAGCGGCAGGACATGGCGCCCACAGGCACTTTCTTGGGTTTGGACTTCGACTTCTCTACGGTGGCGGTGGAGGGGGCTGTAACCTTTTGGGTCCGGGCAAGGCTCCAGGAGAAGGTTGAGGACATGTTGGCAACCGCGGAGCAGACCGGGGTGTTGCCCCCAGGGGTGGCCTCCAAGCTATACGGCACCCTCAACTTTCTTGAGATGGGCGTGTGTGGCCGTGTGGGCACTGGCGGACTCCAGGCCTTGAAGCTCCGCCAGTCCGAATCCACTTCTGCCCTTACTCCCGAGTTGCGCCAATCCATTGAGGCTATCCGGGCCGTGTTGAGCTTGCGCCCTAAACGGCAGGTGGAGGTCCTGCCGTCGCAGGCCCGTCGATTCGTGGTAGCTTCTGATGCTGCGGAAGATGTCCCAGGCGAAGGGACGGGAGGTTTCCTCTTGGTCTGGCGAAGTGGATCGCCCGCGCGAGAGGCCTTCGTAGCAGAGATCTCTCCAGCAGTCTACTCGTTGTTCACCCCAGGGGACCACAAGATTGCGCAACTCGAGCTCTCCATGATTCTGTATGCCGTCACGTCTCGGGCCTCGCGCTTTCGAGGCGCCCGCGGAATATGGTACATCGATAATGTCGCCGCCCTTATGTGCCTGATCAGAGGGCGTAGCGACTCACCCGATTTGGAGCGCGTGGCGCACCTCATCCATGTAGCCCTTTTCGCGCTTCAAACGTGGATCTACTGGGAGTGGATCCCCAGTAAGTCCAACTGGGCGGATTCCATGAGCCGTCTTGGGTGGCAGGACCGATGGCATCGCCTCCAAGGATTTCAATGCTACTCTGCCCAGTTTCCGGCTTCACTCTGGCGCCTGCCTCTTCGACCCGTCACTCTTGTCTTCGAGTTTTTGTAGTGCTTTGGGGACTCAGTGCAGTGGGAGGTTATCCGGTGTTGACCGGATTCTGTTATCCGTCAGAGTCGGAGATGGTGTCGCCATCGACTGACGGACAGCAGATTCCTGCTGTTTTACCAAAGCACATCCTGAAGTGTTCAGGTTCTATGAGACAGGAGACCAGAGGGTTCGGCAGAACAGAAAAGAGTGGGCGCTGGGCAGAGCGATGTTTCAATCCTTGGGGATAGCATGTGAATGATATATAGATATATAGAGGTGCAGGCTACTGTATATCGGGAGCGAGAGAAGGCGCACGTTACATTCACAAATCTGGTCATTCCGTAGCGGTTGCTGGTTTGAGTGCATGCTGTGTGAGATACAAAACAAAAGGTCGCAAAGTGCGTACATCGGTTTGAAAGGTGTTCCATATGTATATATATATATGTATATGTATGTACGTGTGTGTGTAGATACATGAAAATCTATGTGACATTAATCAGTACCATAGAATAGATTTCCTTGTTAATATTTAGTATATACATAAATATGGAGTAAGACTCTATCTATCTATCTGTCTGTCTGTCTATCTATCTATCTATCTATCTATACACACAATTACATACAGATATATGTATGCAAAAAATACAGATATATATATATATATATATATGCATATGTATGTATGTATGTATGTATGTATGTATGTATGTATGTATGTATGTATGTATGTCTGTCTCTATAACATCAGGTGCCGGATGACACGCACCAGATCGGGCCTAGAGACGTGCACCGAGCGGCCAAGACGCGCCCTCATGGGCACCTCAGACCTTGCAACGAGATTGTGAGGGCCCTTATTTAGGGTTTAGGGTTTGGGGCTTAGGGTTTAGGGTTTGGGGTTTAGGGTTTAGGGTTTAGTGAGTGAGGGCCCTTAGGCTTATATAGGGCTCTCATAGGGCTGGGGATTCTAGGGATTATAGGGTTTAGGCCTTGTAGGGTTTGCCCTTAGCCCAAATCTTCGGGTTTTGAAGTTTAGGTTCAGGGCTCAGGGCTTTATAGGGCGGATTTTGGTTTTGGGTTTCAGGGTGTTTAGGGTTGATGGGGTTCACAGGGTTTAGGTTTATAGGTTTGTAGGTTTAGGTGCCGGGCTTGGGTTCTTGCTGGGTGATGTTTTGCGTGCTGCGTGCAAGTTCATATTCAGGCCAGAAAGCAGCCTTTTAACCTTGTTCTAGTTGAGCAAAAAGACACTTCAGGTGGTTTCCTACAGCTCGGTCTCCTGTTCCCAGAGGAAACGGGACACGCAAGCTGAGGAGTTGGCGGTGCAACATGGCCTCTTCTGGCTGCCAGAAGCTACGATGGGACACTCCCCTCCAGGAGATTGAGCCATTCTGGATTTTGCCGATGTTTTTTTACGGTTGCTTTTTTGCTGCGGTAGCAGTCCGACATTCGAAAGTGTGTAGCCTCACGGGTCGCTTATCATGCTGAGCAAAGACTGAGACTCCCTTGCAGGAGCCTTACTGGTGGTGCTCGAAGTGCAGCTGGTTCGGCCCCCAGATTGGAACCTCTAGGCCTAGAGATTCAAGAGGTTCAACAGAGCTCTTCTCATTCTCCCTAGACCCTAGAACCCTAGGCCACCGCCGGGTGGTTGCGAGGCTGATAGGCAAGTGGCAAAAAAACCCTAAACCCTATCGCCTGATTTGATGTAGGATGGTTTCATAAGGCCGGCCTCCTAAACTCCAAAGCCCTGAACTGTCCGGAATACGAACGGCTGCATTTCCTCCTCGGACCATCGGCGACTGCAGTGGAGCTCTGGCTCGGCAGACGGAGTCTACCGCGGTCCTGGATCATGGGATTCTCCCTTGGACCCAAGAAGGTTGCACCCTTGGGTTTGGGGCCCTTTCTTCGAGATCCTCTAAGGGAATATAGGGGCCATACTAGGAGTACATGAAGACAACCCCTTAGGGGTCTATCCTTAGGGGTCCAAGTTTGACTCCCCTGACTGGATGAAGGTTGGGGTGGCTTTAGGGTTTAGGGTTGCGGGTTTAGGGTTTTTCGAGTCAGGTATTGCTGCGACGCGTGCGTGCAACGCATGCCCGACAAGGCCACGTCAAAGCAAGTGGCCCATTGGAGGCCAGGGCCCCCTGGTCCGAATACTCTTCCAAAGGGTGCTTGGAGGTGCCCCAGGACCAATGCCTGAGCCCTTATCCGACCCTGTAACCGACCCAAAGAAACACTAAGCAAACCCCCTAGACCTGAGAAGCCTGCCGGAGAACCTCCTCATAACTCCACACACCATGAAGCTGAAGCCTGATTGAAGGCCGGGCGCCTCCACTCAGTTGGACGCGCTGGTTGCGGACGTTGTCAGGGACTTTAACCTGCCGAGCCCCTTTCAGGCAGAGTTTACGGCTTGGGTGTCATTCAGCTGGAAGGGTTGATCGGGAGCTGCTGCAAGCCCGAAGAACGTCCATCAGAAAGACAGGATGCTGTATCCCACGTGCTCCCACGTGCTCCCTTGAACCCTGGCACAGGCAGGGTACACCATCAAGATGAACTGGTATCCCGATGCAATGTCGCGGGTCTCCCAGCATCGGCACGACAACTGGACACTGCTGGTCTCCTTGGGCGCGCCAAGGGTGCTGACAGTGGACAGGGCACAAGTCCTCATGGAGGATGGGGACCTCATCCTCTTTGGTACACAGAGCCATGGGGTTCCTGAAATGCCCAGCGCAGCCGGCGGCCGCCTAAGCCTGGTCTTCATGTTTGCTCCTGACCAAGCGGTGGGCACCGCGGCCGAGACCCGGGCAAGCGCGGGTGGTGCTGCCGCCCGCCGCGGGGGTGTCGCCCCTCCGGAGCTGCCGAAGCCACGATGTGTCCTGACGCCGGAGGAGCTGCAGTTTGCTGCTTTGTCGGCTGAGTCGCAATGGGAGGTTGGACATGATAGACATGACGGGGCCTACATGCCGCCAGAGGGCGGCCAAATAGATGAAGGCCATGGTTTGGATGCTTTGTGTGCAATGGGCTTCTCGTGTGAGCAGGCCCGAGCGGCCCTCTTGGCAACAGAAGGTGACACCGAACAGGCTGTTTCCCTGCTGCTTTCCAGTGCATGATGCCAGCGCTCTGATTCATAAAGGCGGGCACTGGCAAATTCGATTCCGGCGGCGCCATTTGCACAGTCGAGCTGCCTGTCACAGAAGATCGACCAAATTCGTGCGACACTAGCACCTGTCGCGGCTCTAGAGCAGCAAAAACAGGTACAATCTCTTAAGGCCTCCTATGCGTAATGCCTGTAGAAACTGGCGCGGCAGCTGCCCAGGATTTCGCTTGTCACCGCATGCTACGGTCTTTGGCATTGTGGGCCGCAGCCGGCCTGCAATTTGTTGTACAGACATTTTCCCAGCCGAGTGCAATTTTCGAGCCGCCGGCCTGTCCATGCCGTAGACGGCAGGAGGAGGTCATGCCTGGAAAAGTCGCCGTGAAGCCACAGTCTAGTCTTCACGCCGTGCACATGCTTTAGCTATTGGGGGCCTTGTCTTCCAAGGAGTCATATTGCAGAGCTCTTAGTCTAAAGACCCTCATCCCTCCATCGCTACCTTTGGAGTTTGCCGCAGTACTGTAGCTGGAAGGATCGGATGCGCAATGGAGCCTGAGCCTCCTCAAAGCGGCCCCCCCAAAAAACCGAAATGAATCCGCCAGGAGAAGATCGGGTCCCTTTACGATCTCACAGATCCGCTGCGTGGGCCGCCACTCGGCTGGAATTTCAGGTGCCACTCTCCTTGCTGTTTGCGGTTTTCTCTGCTTTCGGAGAACCTCATCCAGATATGTCATACGAAGCAGGGTTAATATTTTGCTGCTATGGGCGAGTGTAGATAAGGTTCCTTTTTAATATTGGTGAGTGTATATACCGGGTGTCCTTTTGATTCCTTCTGGGGGTACAAGCCATCTAAACCCTAAACCGGAGGTGTGGCCTCGGGCAACCCAATAAGAAACCCCAGTCTGACCCGAAATCGCCCTGCGATGCGGATTCGCCCCAGCTGTGCAGGAGGGAACCCTAAACCCTAAACCCTAAACCCTAAACCCTAAACCCTAAACCCTAAACCCTAAACCCTAAACCCTAAACCCTAAACCTATAAACCCTAAACCCTAAACCGCGGCTATCTTAACAGCGTGCCAAGAAGTGCGGGGTGGAGGCTTCCCCCATGCCAAGGCTGGAGACGATCCGTGACTGCGTGGAAGCTGGCGGGAACTTCATCCAGTGCCTTGGGCCAGGGTTTAGGGTTGATAAGGGTCTATGGTTTAGGGTTTAGGGTCTAGGGTTTAGGGTAAGCTGCCTAGGCACATGCTCACGAAAGAGCTCCACAGGGGGATCGCCTTAATGCTGACTTCCTATGGATAATCCCCCCTCCCCCTTCCCTTTTTGGGCATGTGTTTTTTGGCGCCCCCAGCTCAGGTTCGGCATCCACTACAGCGACGACACTGGGCATCACAGGAGCTTAGGGGAGCAACCCTAAACCCCAAACCCTAAACCCTAAACCCGCATGTGTTCGGTAAGACATATCACTCAGCCGCATAGCCGCCTCAAGCACGTGCACCCTCGGCCGCTGCATCATCTCTTGCGGTGGGGTTTGCAGCGCCCCTCCTGTCGGCAGTTTGCGCGTTCCTTCAACAGCGCACCTCCAAGATTAGCCCTAAACCCTAAGCCCTGTTCAGACTCGGCCAGGCGCACTCAGACAAGCCTGTGTATCGAAAGGGGATCCGAAACCCAAAAGGCCCCTTCTAAACTTCTAAAAGCCTCTGATGGCATTGATTTTGGGAGGGGTTTCGGGCGATGTTGAGGATTCAATCCGGGGCCCTCTTGGAATTCGGCTTCGTTGGTGAAGCCCTAAGCCCTACACGGCAGGAACCTGCTCATGGTTGTGCGGAACAAAGTGCCACCCGAGCTGCAGGGAAGCTCATCTGCAGCGTGGAAATTATTTATGTCGGAACAAGGATAAACTACATCCTAAACCCCAAACCCTTTAAACCCTAAACCGACCTAGAACATTTGTTATTGGAGCCCTCTGTTCTGGTAAGTTCCTTGTTGTCTCTGCGCAAGAGCCTACCTAGTCTTGGGGGGTCAGGTGCAAGGGCTCCCCATGGTCAGTTCTCCAAATTGTGGTCTCTTTTTTTGGCTTGCCTAAGTAAGAATCAGGGGGTCGGATTGTAGCAGGCCCCTTCGAAGAGGAGGCCTGAGTTAAATTGTGCCAAGGTTTTTGAGGGTACCAAGGTGTAGGGTTTTTGCGCTTTCGAGGGCCGAAGGGCTTGGCAATTCTCGGAGGTGGCTTGGAAAGATGCAGTTTAGGGTTTGGGGTTTAGGGTTTCGGGTTTGGGGTTTAGGGTTTAGGGTTTAGGGTTTAGCGGGGTGAGATGGCCTCTGGGGCACGGATGGCGCGCGCACGTTTGCAACGCAGACAATGTCTCAGGGGGGGCTTCGTACAGTTCATGAGGACACTCACGTGGCTGTGGGGCTGGCCAATCTTCCTGCCGCCCTCGCAATCCTCATATGTCAGCTGCAAGTCTCAGTTACACATACGCTTCAGGACTTGCGCAGGACCAGGGCGTATGGGGTTCAGTTTGTTTCAACCCAGTCAAATGTCTGGTGGGTGCACGTGAAAAAGGATCGTAGGTAGAGATAGTGCTCGCTGCGGGTGCCAAAGTCTAGGGCAGCCCTTGGACGTGGCCTTACTTGGGTATTTTACAAGCGCGGCAGGGTTGACCCTTTTACCCTAAACCCTTAGTGACTTAGTGTAGTATGTCTGGAGAAATGCGATCTGCCATGAAACTCCTATGAACCCTAAACCTTCGTTTCGTCGAGACAGAAGACTTGAGGGCGGTTCGGTTTGAGCGCAATGGCAAATGGCGAGTGCCGGAGTTGCACGTGCGCATTCCGACGATAGCCTGTTGAAGCAAGTGCGACCCTCTACTGCATGCATATTATACTGTAGGACGCCGCACGCTCTGGACCCCAGATGCCCCACGAGAACGCTGCATGCCAATTTGCGCGAGTTAAGGTTCAGGTTCTCCTGTACCTCACAAGCCCATGCTCGAGATCCTGCATGCTCGCCACGTCGTTGTCGTTGCCAGGCTTCCAACTGCATATTGCCGAGCAACTAGAGTTGCAGGGCCATAATCATCGTGTATCTGGCTTTGGCGCGCAGTTTCATTGTTGTACATCGCGTGACGCGTTTCTGCCATGTGCTTGTGAATCCCTGCATGCGCTACAGACAAAACCGCCAGAGCAAGACCCCATGAATGACCATTTTCGCGCTGGAAAACAGAAAGCCGCGAAGACCATGCCAAGCACGGTAAGAACCCACCACCGAGCTTCCCAACATCAGGTTTAGGCCTATGTTATGACACCCACGTGCCACAGATCGTCCTTGAAATCCTACACATTGACGTCCCAGGGCAGCTGCCCGTTTGCGAGCATCTCACCGAGGAGCTTGAAACATGTGGTGGGGCCTGGTCGGATTTTAGGCTGAGGCTTTTCGGTTCGACTTTTTGGGGGTGCCAGGCTCTGAAATTCGAATGGGTTTGCGGGGGAAAAAGTGCTCCGGAAAAAAGCAAAACATCCTCGGAACGAAGAAGCCCAAGACCCTGCTATGTCGGAGTCGCGGAAAGCAGCGAGTAAAAGGAACGCTGCAAGCCCCAGTGCAACAGAGATAAATTAACACGGTTGCCACTGGGGTTTTAGGGTTTACGGTTTAGGGCGACTCGGTGCCGCGGTTTCTTACCCTAAGCCCCAGACCCAAAACTTAGTAGGATTTTCCTCTGTGTAGGCTGCGGAGCTCTCAGGGGCTCCCCCAAATTAGAATATGACATATTTACTTGCAGTGACTTGTTACAATAAGATAGCCTGCTAATGCCATTGCATCATCGCAATTGCCTCGGAGGAGGAGGTGCTGGGTGAGTGCGACACCGTGCCTCGGACAAGCTGCTTTTTTAGGGGTTTTGGTAGGGTTTAGGGTTTGGGGTTTGGGGTTTGGGGTTTAGGGTTTAGGGTTTAGGGTTTAGGGTTTAGGGGTTAGGGGTTAGGGGTTAGGTTTATCAAGTGGCGAAGAGCTTTGTGCCGAGGAGCTTGACGAGGCCCTGGATGGCATGCAGCAGATGCCGAGCGGCATGGGTTCGTGTGATGTAGGGGGTTTAGGGTTTAGGGTTTCCCAGGGGTTAAAAAGGTCGCAAAAATTTACGAAGAGTATTCCCCCAGGATCCCTTCAAAAATGTACTATAGCAACCCCCCAAAACCCTACTCTGATTATAAAGGCCCTCTTGTATGTTGTGTGTGGCAGCATTCAAGCCTTTGCCGCTTTTTTCTTCGTAAGATGCAGTGCAGAGCCACCTCTCACCAGGGTTCTTGGCAGGAACTTCGCTTGGATGGGTATACTTGATGCATTTCGGGTTTTCAAAACAGCATGAATGAATCAAACCATTTCGGGTGTTGAAAGCAGCACAGCAACCAGTCGGGGTGTGGAAGCCACCCAGACTTCAACCCTTTAGTCAGCCTTAAGGGCTGAGGGGCCTGAGGCGTGTACAGCTTCAGGTAGTACAGAAGGACTCCAGGCCGTCGATTCTTTCTGGGGCCCCAAGCAAAGAAACATTTCGGGCAGCCCCGGGCAAATCATTCAAAAGGGTTGCAGAAAGATGCCGCGGGAAACTTCGGATTCCATACTAGACTTGTTGTGGCAGCCTCAGGACGGATCTGGGCGGCTGTTGCTGCGACTGCTGCCACAAGAACTGCAGCTTGCTGCTCTATGAGCGTGAGGGCTGCCTCAAGCGTTGTAAGCGTCGTTTGTTGAAGGGTCTAATTAGGGTTTAGGCCTTGGGCCAAAGGGTTTAGGGTGTAGGGCTTTTTTGCATTTGCGTTTTGCAAAGTGTTGCTAAGCTCAAAGTTCAGGGTCTGAGACTTGACGTCTGGACACTTGACCCGCTAAGCCCCAACGCCACTGCCAGTGAGGCTGCAATGCCCTGGGTGGCAGGTTTCCTTCGCCTCCCACCGGCAACCAGTTTCTGACCCCGCAGCCCCTTGGATAAAATCTCTGGCAGCCTAGCATTTCCAAAGTCCTATGAAATG